CATAATATAATTCAGAAGCCGTGAAAATGACTGACAGATCTTAATGCAAAAATTTGACTTCAAAAAAAATTAAAAGACAAACTGGGAAAAAAGGTTTGCAATATATTTAAACAGGCCAAAGTTGACTATCTACTACTTGTAGAGAGCTCTGAATTATTAATAAGAATAAGACAGCCCAATATAATAACAGGCAAAAGATCTGAACAAGTTAATGAACATTTAACAATAATAACAGGGAAAAAAACTATGGAAGAAAATGTAAATTTTTGAAGGGCACTTGGGCAGTTTCTAAAAGAGTCTCTGTGATGTAGAACTCAAACTTCTATGAATTTATACTACAGATGTTAAAATAACCAGTGAACAAAATGATTTTAAAATGTTCACTGTAAACTTGGTATTGACTTAAGATATCTATGACATATTGTTAAATATTTTTTAAGTTATAATGGAAATATGTTGGGGTCTCATTTTTCAAAAAATGTTGACATTTTATTGCTGTATGTATACATTTTAAAAGACTAAAAATATATAACAAGAAAAAAATCTTGCTACTCCCTGTGAAGTAGAACTATCAGTCATCTTAATTTTCTTCAAGTCTGTACTTTCTTGATTTAGGGCAATTAACATGTGAGTTTTTATGAGTAAAAATGAGCTATTTCCAAAAGAAAGGGCCTAATAACATGTACCAGGTAATCAAGTACTTCCCTGCCCTTAGTTCGTCAGTGGTGGGTGGGAGGTGGAGTGGACAGAAGCAGTCCCGAGACTGAAGGTCAGCGCTTCCACCACAGCGACCATGTCGGCGCAGGTGAAGGACAGTGCCATCTGGCAGATGGAAGACTTCATTTGGACCAACCGCTAGCAACTCCCATACCAGATTTTAAATTTTATTCCAAATTCCTACCATGAACTAATAATTCATGATTTGCTAATCTCATGAAAAAGAGAGAAAGAGGAAGGGGGAACGAAAGCAGAGAAATGTTCAGTTCCCTGAGGCTCTGGGGTAGCTGGGCCCCCCATAAAAGGAAGTTAAGAGGGGAAAAAGTCAAAGAAAGAAACCGTGGTTACCTCCTCACACAGCCCTCAGAATATAAATAACATGGGTCATTTTGCTCCTGAGGAGCACCCAGAAGAAAGGCTGTAGGGGCTTTTTGTTTCCCACCAGAGCCATGCACAGGCACAGAGGATGAGCATGCTACAAGTTCTAGGAATTTCCCTGGAGACAACCATGCTGCTAAGCTCCTATAAAATCATCTCCCATCACCACCTGTGGCCTCAGGCCAGCAGGAAAGCCAAACCAGATCTGTACTTCTTTTAATCCTCACCTGATGACATGCTAGGACGTGCTTATTATGGATTTTTAGAAAGAGGGGAAGGGAGGAAAAGAGAGAGGGAGAGAAACATGGATGGACTGGAGTCCTGTCATATGTGCCCCAACCAGGAACGAACCTGCCACCTAGGCAGGTGCCCTAATCAGGAATCAAAACAGTAACCTTTCGATTTACAGGACACTCCAACCAACTGAGCCTCACCAGCCAGGGAAAGAGCTACACTCTTTAAAGTTTTAAAGTGCTTATGCTGAACAAGCCTCCCGCCTTTGAAAATATCTTGAAAAAATCAGCTGTCTGGGTCAGAGACAAATAAAGTAAAACTCCATTTCTTAGCAATATGGGATGTCACATGCGGTGAAAGCTGAAGGTGATGAGTGGGCACAGGGCATTTCCTCACAGCTGTCTTCCTCTAATAAGTGCCCAGTTTAACGAGGTCATGCTAAGGACGCTCTCTAAGTGCAAAATTAAAAGAAGTTATAAAGTTATACTTCATATTTTTTCCTCGAAACACTGAGTGTAGTTTATTTTTGGACAGCCCACTTCAGTGGCAGTTGGGAAATACCTTTAGTCACACTATTTCTCGAAATTCCCTCTAGCTGCTGTAAGTGACACAATTTTCTTCAAAAAATCACCATTGGAGTTGCAGATCTTTTGGAATTACACACGCCAAGGACAATTTCCCAGAATCCGTAGCCTCACTAGTCACCAATCATTGCCCGACAGATGTTGTAAGCTACCACCAGATTTATTCAAGGGGAGGTGATAAAATACAACCTTCAGAGAAGAAAGCAAGCAGGCCCTCCAGTTAAGGGGAAAGAAACATTGGCAACATGCCCCCAAAGCTGTCTTGTCACACTAGGAAGGAGGATGCAGGGGCCCAAACTCAAAACAGAGTGGAGAAAGCTCAGCTGCAGGTAGGGTGAGGAAACTGGGAAGAAAAAAAAAACCCAGATGACTGCCAGAGCAAACGAACAAACAAAAATAATAAAATGCTTTAAAACACTAGTAGGGAAAAGAATGTTGCAGTTTGATAAAGAAAATGAAGTCTGGGAATATAACTACTTTTCTCCCTGAAGCCCATAACAGGTGATCTGAGAGCTCAGGTGATCTCATTCTTCAGAACTGACCTTGGATTCCAGACCTCAGAAAAGGTAACAGTCCGCCTCAGGGAGGGTTCCACCTTTAATCTTCATAGCCAAAGGAGTTTTCTTTGACCACTGTTTTTTGCTTTGAAAACTGTAGCCAGAAGAAGCCACCTGTTATTCCACTAAGTTTTAAAAATTGTCTTATTCTGGGTCTCACTTTACTGTTAGAGACCTAGCCAAAGAGATTAGTTTGTAAATATTCTCATCCCTTGGTTCTGTATTCTCTGCCACTCTGTTCAAAACTTCACTTCCTATTCTTTCAACTTGCTTCTTTTTTACATATTATTGTGTTAAAATAACACTTTTGATGTGCTCCTCCTTGGGAGAAAAGAATGGAGTCTCTTCAAACACTTCATTGGGATTTATCATTTTTTAAGTGCAGGAGATTAAATAAAATTGGTATTATTATGGTGGCTTCTGCACAGTAATGGTCAGGGGATGTGTGGAAAATGCGCCTGGTTTTAAAGGGTCCAGGCCACAGAACCCAGTTTACGGAAGGATCTCATGAAAAGAGAAGGGAACTTTTATGGCAATGGGAGTTTGACTCATCTTAAAGTATGAACAGGAAGAAGAGCTAAAATCTCGAGACTGCTGACTCATTTGGAGGAAGGTACCAGATTCCCCCAAACTTGTGCTGTTTGGTTCGCTGCTGACCATTATTAGCACATCACAAAGATGGTCAGCAGTATCTGAAAGAGTGAAACCCATATTCCACCTCTGGGGAGAAGGAGGTAACTGGTCCCTTCAACATAAAACATCAGAATCTGCGTCCTGACATCCATAGCCAGCTCCTGCCACCTCACTTTCACTGGCTCCTTCCTCCGTTTTCAGTTTCAAAGCCGCACAACCCGCTGTTCCCCACTGGTGTCCTACAATCAGGCATGTGCACACCTCAAACGTGGATCCCTTCGAAGGCGATTTATGTGCACACCCAAGAGTGTGTCCCCCCCCATGCTGTAAGAACAAGAACTTCTGAAGATACTCCCTGGATACAATAAAACCGTTTAAGTCCTGAAGGAAATGTGCTAAGGAAAATACTGACTTAAAGAAAAAAAACAGAGAAAGGTTATACACCACGAGCACACAGCTGTTCATCAGTGTCAGCAGGAGACGGTAAACAAGCCCAGAGCTGGCTGCTCCGTAGGTTTTTAGGGCAGCACTTTGAGGGCTAGGGCAGATGGAAGGAACGTGTATCGTACCTTCCCCATCTGCTTCATTACAACACACACCTAGCATTAAAAGAGCTTGAAAGTTGCATGATACCTGGCCATTGTAACATCACAGGTATCCAGCTGTCAAAGAAGTTGCACCCACAGTGTATCTTCTCTTTCAAAGTTGGTCTTTCAAACGTCTAAGAAATACATGCCACTCTTGCTTGGAATTAAGTACCTCCCTGGACAGTCACCAAAGATCAAATGACTTCTCTTGAACTCTTAATTCCTTGCTAGCATTATTAAGTCCACTTACAATACTGAGAATATTGCCATGCGGAAAGGCAGGAATATCTCTCCACTATTTTAAGGAATTTTAACGACCTGCCGCTATATTTGTTTTGCGAGAAGGAAGGGGAGCCAAGGCCCATGTAGTCCTCAGGCTCAGCGGCGCGGCTGGCTGGCTGGCTGGCAGCCCCGACCCCTGGCGTGGGGCCCCCTGGCAGTGCCGCTGGGCTGAACTGTACGCCTTTTCATGCAGGCAGAGGAGCTGAGGTTAACTGCACCACACTCTCCCACCTGAGGAAAAGGCCTGTTTGTTCAGGAAGGCACAGCCCGGCCTTCTTGAAGTCACTGCTAGCAGTTAACAGGAGCGTTCTCAAGGCAGCAAGAAAGCTCTGGTCTAGAACCAGAAAGCCGTCACTTGAGGATTTCTCCAGAGCCCGGTATCTGGAAAGACGCAGCTCAGGCGCTTCACCTGAAGGTTAACCTGAAAACATCTGATCCTCTCCTAGGCCACCTGGCCAGGGGGAAGGGGCAGACTGCCAGGTCAGGCCTCGCCTTCCACACTTTCCACAGCTCTCGCGATTCGGAGCAGGAAAAACTTTCAGGGCACAGGCTTGTCCGCCTTGCTGGACGGCCTCCCTGCAGCTGGAACCTTCCGGGCGCGCCCCCCTCTCTTAGTCGTCCTCTCACCGGTCCCGCCTGCAGCGGGGCGCGCGCTGGCCGAGGCCGAAGGCAGCACGCGGCGGGGGGCCGCGTGCAGGGGGCTCTGCTCCGAGGCGTCGCGGACCCGGCTGCACGCCGGCCGGTCAGTGCGCGCGGGACCGGACGGAGCGTGGCCAGCCCCGCGTTCCCGCCCCCCCCCCCCCGCAGTCACCACTCCGCCCCTCGCTTCCCTGCCGGAGGAGACTTCTTCCACGCGTCCAGAGCCAGTCTCTCGGGCTCCGGGAGGCTGGACGCAGCGAAGCGGGTGAGGCTGGGGCAGTGGGAGACGGAAAGGGGTACAGGCGCGAGAAGACCGGAGCAGGAGGGCAGCCTGAGCAGGGCCCGGGACGCGCCCAGTAGACGGCGCCGAGCGCCCCCGGGGGACTGACCTGCGGCGCGGCTCCCAGGACAGGTCTGCGGCTGAGATCCTCACGGGCAGGTCTAGCGCCTCCGCTCCGCCAGACGTGGTGCGGCCCCGGAGCCGCAGCAGCCAGAGGTCAAGGGTGGGACACTGCACCTGCCTCGGCCGCCCCGGGCTCCCACGCTCGGGTCTCCGGTGCCCCGCGCGGTCCCTCCACTCCGCCTCCCGCGTGTTCACCGGGCGGCAGGACTGCGGAGCAGCGCCTTCTGCAGAGGCCGGGTCTGCCCGCGCGCCCTCCACACCGCCCCCGGGCGGCGGGGCCGCGCGCGTCCAGCCCCCTCCGGGCTCCGGCCCGTCTTCGTTCCTTTCTCGGTTTCTCCATTCTTCGTTTCCCTCATCCATTCCTGTGTCCATTTCTTTAGCCATTTCTATTGTGATGCGTTCAGGACACCTCGGAGAGCGCCAAGCTGAGCGCTGGACGCTGGATACACGAGGAAAGAAAGACGTGGCCCTTTCCCGCTAGGATTTCACATAAACCGTCAAGTTCATTGGATGCGCTTATTTTCCCCTCCTGAAGGGCAGGATCACAAAACTCCGTGACAAGGTTCATGTTTCAGGTGTGAAAAGTGCTACTGGAGCACAGGGAAAATAAAACAAATCGCCTTCCGCTCGCGTGGGGACACTGGAGCGGACCTTCAGAGCGGGCAGGGCGGGTCCGCGCGGCTCCAGGCTGGGCCGGAGGGACGGCGACACACGCACCGCCTCGCTCTGCCTGCGCTGCAGCCACCGCTGCTCTGCCCTCCACGTGTACGACAGGAACACACGCGCCCCTGGGAAACCAAACATGAATCTTAGAGATGAGGACCGCGGACCCATGCCCAAATACCAATGTCAGCTGAGGGTGATGTTGGCTCGGCAGTTTGGACCCGGCCACAGGCCCTTTCCCAGTCTGTTCCTACTCTAGTCACGTGGTAGCAGCAGCGCTGAAGTCCCGAGTTCCAGGCCACTTGGATGAGCAAATGTTTAAAAGGTCTCTGAGTATACCTAGGGCAAAGAATACCCTGCCAGATAATTATTTTAATATGTGTCTCCAGGTAGATACAGTTGGACAAAATACTGTCTATAAAAGCATGCATAATTGACCCTCGTTTGAAAGATAGTTCCAAAAGGCTATTAGGTTTAAAAAAAAAAAAAAAAGGAAGAAAGGATAGAAAAGAAAAGAAAACCTTACTTTATTTTATTTTTTTAGAAAACCTTATTTTAGAACCCCTATTATCAGAGCCACCCCCTGGATGTAAACAAGCTTGGAGGACCCCGTTTGCCTAGTCACAGTCCCCACAGATGCGTGCGACGGTGGCGTGGGTAGGTTCCGTTTTAGAACAAACGGAGAGGAAATGTCACAGCGTTGTACTCGTGGGGAGCGGGGGGATTCCCGTGATAGGCTCAGACTGTGGCTTGACTGGAAAGTGTTGGAGGAAGTAAATTGTAAGTATAAAACATTACATTTATATGTTATGTACCCATATGTATCATATATAGTTTATATCATTTCTATGCTGATGAGTCTTTAAGCCTTTTTAATTCAAAGAAAAGCCACAATAAAGGGACAACCTATTAACCTCGAAATGCCAGGACTCCACAAGGAACAATAATTCCTTTAGAAGGGGATTTTAAACTGGAATGACTTTTTTTATCAGCACAATTCTCCTTATGTCTTTTCTAAGCCTCTGGCAACTCTACACAATAACTTCTGGTCAGGTAGTTAAAAACAAACATAACTGTTACTATTGCATTTACTAAGAACACTTACCATGTGCAAGGGATCTGTGCTTCAAAGAGGCCAGAAGTACAGTGCCTACTAGGTAGGAAGGCTGATGTGTGTGTTATCTCATTGAAAACTTGGCACCCTGTACTGTCATCTCCCTTTTGAAAGGAGGAAATGGATTCAGAGAGGTTGAAGTTACTTCTGGGAGGTTGCCCACAGAATATGTAGTAGGTCCAAGATTTCTATTCAGGTGGCTGAGTCTCCAAAACCTTTATTCTCACCATACAACTGGACTGATAGAGGCGAGATCAGCAGTTACTGCCCTTGGGCAGCATTCCTGACCCGGAGAAGTTTCTGTAAACAATTGCACATCCGTAACAATCTATCAACAGTTGCACAAAATAGAGATGAGGTACATATACATAAATAGCTGGATGCATATATTATCAACAGATACAAAAGTATCACTTAAAAAAAAAGTAAGTAAATTTTTACAGAACACTGTATAGGGAAAATACCTGCAGAAGAGCTGAAGTTTCTCAAATGTTAATGTGCAAACGAAACACCAGGGGGGTCTTATGGAACCCAACTCTGATTCAGTAGGTCTGGAATAGGACTCGAGATTTTGCATTTCTAACTAGAAGATGTTGCTGATACTACTGGTCCGTGTACCACTCTTTAAGCAGCACAGTTCTAGGAAGTATTTAATTTCAGTGGTGAGGGACTTGGGGTTGGAGAAGAGAGTAGGAGAGTAATAATGGAAAATACTTGGAGTCCAATAGCTGAAAGTTGTGAATATTATACAAAGTGAAAGAAATGAATTATAGTTTCTAGGTACCTAATCTAATCATTTTTTAAAGATTTTATTTATTTTAGTCACAGGAGAAGAAAGGGAGAGAAACATCAATGTGTGGTTGCTTCTCACATGCCCCCTACTGGGGACCTGGTCCACAACCCAGGCATGTGCCCTGACTGGGAATCGAACCAGCAACCCTTTGGTTCACAGGCCAGGGCTCAATCCACTGAACAACACCAGCCAGGGGTCATTTTTAATTAGTAAATTAGTTCACAATAGGCATTAGATTTTTCACTTTCAAAAGTCACTGCTTATGGTAAAGATCTAACTCATTTCTCACTGGTAACAGTCATTTTTCTGTGCTATGCTTTTGTTGCTTTCTGTGTTCTGATGGAGGCGTAGGTGGAAACACTGTGCCTCCTTGCACAACCAAGTTTAAAGACAACAAAGTTTTAGTAACAAAAATGCAACCAAAACACAGAAAATTGAACTATACAGAAGCCTGACAAAAACCATTCAGCCAGACCAGTAAGAGGCGCGGAGCCAGCCACTGGTGGAGCAGGGTTGCGCAGGATAACTCAACCAGACCGACCCAGGAGCAAGGGCGGCGGTTTACAGAACCCAGGCGTGGGGTCGAGAAGGACAGACCCAGTGAGGGCGCAAGGTGGCAGGCTGACCGCGGTCACACATTGGTGGGAAGATAAACCAGCAAAGGAGTGGGCAGTGAGACAACCGCACAGACCCCAGCGTCGGGAAGCAGCAGAGGTGACCGCTAGTGCCCCTCTCTGACCACACCCCCACATACAGGGTCACAACCCAGCGACCTGGGTAGCCCCGCCCTGGGGAACACCTAAGGCTCCGCCCCTCATACATAACAGACACCAACAGACCAAAATATTATGGCTCAAGAAGGACAGCTCGAAGCCCCAGAGTCAGTACTTCTAAGTGACCAAGAGACAGCCAACCTATCAGATGCACAGTTCAAAACACTGGTGATCAGGATGCTCACAGAACTGGTTGATTTTAGTCACAAATTAGAGGAACAAATGAAAGCTAAACTAATTAAAATGAAGGGAAATGCACAGGAAACCAATAGTGATGGAAAAGAAACTGGGACTCGAATCAAGGGAGTGGACCAGAAGGAAGAAAGAAACAACCAAACAGAAGAGGATGAAGAAACAAGAATTCAAAAAAAAAATGAGGAGAGGCTTAGCAACCTCCAGTACATCTTTAAATGTTCCAACATCCAAATTATAGGGGTACCAGAAGGGGAAGAGGAAGAGCAACAAGTGGAAAACTTATTTGAACAAATAATAAAGGAGAATTTCCCCAATCTGGCAGAGGAAATAGACTTCCAGGAAATCCAGGAAGCTCAGAGTCCCAAAGAAGTTGGACCCAAGAAGGAACACACCAAGGCGTATCATAATTACATTAGCCAAGATTAAAATGAAGGAGAGAATCCTAGAAGCAGCAAGAGATAAGGGGACAGTCACCTACCAGTTCATGTTGCTCCACTCTCTCATCAGCAGAATTGGTTTTGTTAGTGTTTTGGATTCTGGCCACTCCACTAGATGCCTAGGAGTATTTCACTGATGCTTTATTTGCAATTCCCTAATGCCACATAACATTGAAAACATTTTCATATGCTTATTTTCCACCTGCATGTTTTCTTTAGTGAAGTATCTATTCAGGTTTTTGGCCCCCCCTTTTTTTAAATTAGGTTGGTTGTTTTCTTGTTGAATTTGAGGAATCCTTTGCATATTTTCTATAATAGTGTTTATCAGACATGTCTTCTGCACATACTTTTTTCCTAGTCTGTGGTTTGTCTTCTTGTTCTCTTGATGGTATCTTTTGTGGAGCAGAAGTTTTTGTTTTTTACAGATTTTATTTATTTTTAGCAAGAGGAGAAGGGAGGGAGAAAGCAAGGGAGAGAAACATTAATGTGCATGAGACATCAATCAGTTGCCTCTCACGCACGCTCCCAACTGGGGACCCGGCCTGGAACCCAGGCATGTGTCCTGACTGGGAATCAACCCAGTGACTGTTAGGTTTGCAGGCCAGCACTCAGTCTACTGAGCCACACCAGCCAGTGCAGACGTTTTTAATTTAATGAAGTCTTATCAAATTTCGTTTTCACAGATTGTGTGTTTGATGCTGCTTCTAAAAAGTCACCACCAAACCCAAAGTTATCTAGATTTTCCTCTATGTTGCCTTTTAGGACTTTCATTGTTTTCATTTTACATATACATCAACGATCCATGTTGAGTTAGTTTTGTAAGATCTGTGTGTCTACATTTATTTTTTTGCAGGTGGATAACCAGTTGCTCCAGCATCACTGGTCCTTCATCAAAGATTGACTATATTTGCATGAGTCTATTTACTTACTATGCTAAGTTGCCTCCATTCATGAATATATTATCTCTGAAATTATTCAGACTGTTTATGTCTTGTAATGGAGTTTTTGAAAGTTTCTCTGGGAAGGCCTTGCACATTCTACCTTAGGATGATTGTTAGATAATTTCTAATTTTTGCTATCTTTTCTGGAAGATTATTCATATAGCGAGGAAGCTTAGAGTGTTGTTAAATTGATCTTACTTCCAGAACAATCTCACTGAATTCTTTAATTAGTTTTGAAAATTTGTTAATTTTATTAGTTTTTCTATGTAGATCATCATATCATCAATTAACAAGAATTTTATCTTTTTTTTAAATCTTAATTTGAAATTGGTATGCTGGGACTAAAAGATTAAAATTCAGTATTTGATTTTTTAAAGCCTTATAAAGTGATCGGAGAAAATAGCAGCTAAATTGTTTAAAGAAAATGTGGCATCAACAAATCAAGTTTTACCTAAAAAGTGTTCATAACAGACAACACATATTCTTCGATAACTATTTTGATATCTATAAGCTTTCCCCTAAGAGTTCTCCCCTGACTCATGTGGTCCAGACACAGAAGGGCAGCCTGAATCCCGAGCCTTTTGGACGGGTCCTTGTTTGTAGCCCCAGTAAAGGGATTTGACTGTTCCTGGTCCTGCCCCGGCCCATGCAGCCACCACAAAGCACTCGCAGCAAACTTACCTCGTGTGCATGGTAAAAGTGAAAACTCCTGGCCTCACTACAGGACTTGAAAAGTAAGAAGTCTCTGCTGGAAGTGCATGCACATCCACAATTTTAACGTGAGCCCTCCCTTCTGCCTCAACAATTCTTATGTCTAGGAGCTTGGGAATCATTATGTGGGGGAGAGAGATGATGGACCTCACCAACAGAAGTCCCACCCCCGTCTCCCCCTTGTTCCCCAGTCTAGAAGCCTAGGAGGAGAAATGGAGACTTCCATTCTCCCTTCCTTTTTTTCTTGTCTTTTTTAATCTTCCCCTAGGATACGTTTATTGATCTGAGAGAGAGGAGAGAGAGAGACACTGATGCAAGAGAAAAATTGACTGGTTGCCTCCCATACCTCAACCAGGGATTGAACCTGCAACCTGGGTATGTGCCTAGACTGGAAACCGAACCTGCAACCTTTTGGTGCACAGGACAATGCTCCAACCAACTGAACCACTCACCCAGGTCTCTCCATTCCTTCTTACAAGAACCTTGGCATTCTTTATGGCACATATACCATATTGTTCGAATTATAAGTTGCACTTTTTTCCCCAAATTTGAGGGGAAAGAGGGGGTGTGTCTTATAGTCTGAATGTAGCTTTACATTTACAACAGTGAAATATTATTTATGTTATTAAATATTTACCACACTTTTTGCTTCCATTTTTTTTCCTATTTTCCTCCTCTAAAATCTAGGTGTGTCTTATGGTCCAAAAAATACAGTACATAAGAGAAAAACATGGAAATGACTGGTCCATAATGACTGCCTACCCAAAGCAAGACTGTACTGGTTTGGGACCAGTTCTAAAAAGTTAGTGCTGTTTCTTTTAGGAAACAGTAGAGATGTCTTCTCATGGGCATCATTACTAACAAATAGACCCTAAGATTTATTAAGGACCCACTCCTGACACAAGAAGCAAGCTTGGGAATCGCGTGCCAAGTCACTGGCTCTAATTCCACAGCAGGAAAATGATTTCAGGGCAAATCCTAACACTAGCACTGAAGTATGATTGCTAGTCCAAAAATTTCACAAGGAGCACAAAAATGGTATTTACCAGATAATAAATAAAATTTAAAAAATTCACATTGTACTCTCGTAAATTCTAAAGATGATCAAGATACAAACACTAGAACTAAGGAGAAAACTCCCCTAGGGGTTTAGATTTTTATCACTTCTACAAAGCCAAAGACAGTACAAGCACAGCATATACTAGAGGTAAAACCTCACTTTTCAACACCTGCACTCATTATTATGGTCATGATTAAATAATAAGATTCTAGTGTCTCAAGCTTATCTTCACTTAGCCCTTAAACCTAAATTAACAAATTAGTTCTTTTTTTAAAAAAGAGTTTGCTTTGAGAAAACCTTTATTGCACATCATCGAACTCATTTCTATTTGAACAAACAATACAGAAAACCAAGATCCATGTCATGAAAATGCCTGCAACTTCTAGCCCGCATTTGGTTAGAACAGAGACTTTGTTTCTGTCTTTTAAAGGCATACATTTCCCACTCATGTTTAAGTTATGAGGATAATTATTTTACAAAACATTTTAATGTGAGTTATGGGACCTCTCCCCACAAACCACAGCTCCTAAACCTAAAATGCTACTTCTTTCCATGAGACCAAAGGTGCCAGTGCAGGGACAGTGCATCACACCGCGTTCACAGGGCCACGTGAGTGTGAATAAATCATGCTGTGGGCTCGGGCATGCATTCGATATGTGCTTTCATTTTCATACATGCATAAGATACTCTTTCAAGTTCTTTACGTTAACACTGGAGAAAACTTATACATGAATACTAAGAAGCTGGGTCCCCTCCAGCACTGAAAGAACCTGCATATACGAGTCGTCCCTCACGACCAACTACTGCACTGTTTGCTGGTGATGGCCATTTCTCATTCTAGCCTGGTCTCAAAACTCAACGACTGCTGGACATACAGCAGCCATCCCGTCTCCCTCGTCGAGAGTGGCCCAGGCCCAGGTTAGGGAGTCGTCTGAAGGCACTGCCAGGCAGGGCATTGTTTTCCACTGAGGACACAATCAGCAGTAAGCAACAGGCCAAGAGCTAGAGTAAAGAGTGGCAGAGAAACACCTTCTAAAGCTATAGCAAATTAAAGACCAAGAAACCAATAGCTTCTCTAATCAAAGTTAGGGTTTTTTTTTAAAAAAATGAACTCAACATAAAGCTGAAAGACATTAAATATTGCTTTTAAAAATTATAAACCTAATGAGTTCTTAATAAATTATAGCTATCAATTTGCTCAAAATAGTCGTTTTCAAATATACTCCACCAGATCTTAAAATATACTTAAAAAGTCTCCCGACGCAGCTACACGCCATGTTTTCCTCTAGAGCACACAGAAGCCTGACAGCTACTTTTTACAACAGCAAAATATGGACACTGGAGGGTCATCATCCAATCTGTACTTTCCGGAGTTGGGCAGATCTTTGCACTCTGATATAAACGTCCGCAGTTTGGTCTCCGGGAAGCCGTTTTGTTGGTAATGCTATACAAAAGAATAAAAAACAGCTCTCATTAAGAAACTCCTCGAAAACAGCTCTATTCCAAACTTAAAATAGATCATTTTGCAAGGGAGGGGATCTTCCTGGAGGAGTAAGTCAGTAACTTCCAAGTATTCAGGGAGGTGTGGTCTCCAGAGCCACTCTGGTTGGGCTAAGGCAAAGTGGGTCTGGGCTTCTGCAGTGCCCTCCTGGCCTCTCCCTTCTGGATCTGATTCAACCCAAAATAAGCATGTTGAAATCTCAGTCAGCCTTTGCCCTGCTTCCAGGAAGAATCCAGCCAGTCCTGTTCCACGTCTGAGATCCTCTGTCATGGCTCCACCCTGCAGCCCATGACCTTCAGGCCAGTGTATAGCAGGCACCTTGGATGGCACTTCATTCAGGCCAAAAGAAGCCCAGCTGGTACAGATTAACAACGATGCTGTTGGAGGCTGAGGGGTAGGTATACCCAGGCTTCTTCGGAAGACCTTGGCATACCTCTGAATGCTCCTACACTAGTCCAGGTGTCTGGACCAAGATCTGGATGCTGTAAGGGATCTTCTAGTCTGCACACCCTTTTGGAGTCTCTCTTCTGGATAGACAGGCTTGGTTAAGGGCCTCATATGTATATCCATTGGGAGTCTGAGGCCTCTAGAATGTGCCCTGGCCAGAAAAAATCAGAAATAACTTAGATTTCCCATTTGGAAGTCCTCTGAGCCTATGAAAAGAGGCTGACATCTAAACTATGACTCTCAGACTTGTGTCATGGAGAGTCATCAAGTCACATAACTCTTAGAGATGTTGGATGTCGCCTTTAAATAACACAGTTCTCTGCATGCAGAGTGGAAGGTAGTAAATTTTTAGAGCATCATAGGGAGGGATCTGGACAAGTACAGCTACCTTCTTTGCCGGTCAGCTTGGCGACTCTAAGCACAAATCTATCTGCCAAGCAAGTTCTGAGGACAATCGGTTCCTGAAATCTGATTCAATAAGAATGAAGCCATGGCCCTGGCTTCATGAGCAAGGCACTTCACAACCCATCAACTCCTGGAGGCCTTCCCTTTGTCCCTGGATGGTTCACACACAGCATACTACCCAGAAGAAGTCTCCAAGTGGACGTGTCCATGCCAACAGTGTCCCCAACAGTATAAAGCTATTAGAAATTTAAATATATAGGGCTATTTGTTCTGCCTTTCCATATTTCAAAAGGTTAAACTGATTTTTTAAATATTCCTTGTGAATGATAACACCAATAATAAGTTTTTCAAATCAAGTTTCCAACAGGGGAGAGGATCACGCATAGCCTTGCAAAGAGTAATGTGTTCAGTTACAACACACTCTAAATGAACAGGTCAGTTTTTGTTTACGAAAACTGCATTTTAAAAGTTTCTCACCCCCAATTTTGGGTTTTTGCAATGACATTTGTTTTACTCACCCAGTACCTACTGGTTCTTATAATTCTAATAAAAGGTTAGAAAGCTTGTACAAAAAGAAGCACAATGAAGTGAAGATAAAAGTTTCAACATTCTAGAAATTCTATTTCTCCTTCCTTTTTGTTTCTCAGGACCTAAAATTGAAATCACTCTTCTCCACCCTGAAGAAATTAACATTCCATCAGTGCCCTTCCCCCACAGGTACTATATTTTATTGCCACTCTGCAAGGTCCAGGAAAATGCTGCCACTATGGCTACCGATGAACCTACCTTAATTGTTTCATACGTATCGGTGATCAGTGCAATGAAAAGACTTAAAATCATATATATAAAGAGGCTGATGAATGTGTAGAGGTAAGTTCTGCTAAATAGCCAGACCAAGTAACTTTTTTGCTGCATTCCTGCAAATGTGGCAAACATATCATCTCCATTTATCAGAGAAAAAAGGCACTCAGAGACCATGTTCAGAGAACGGAACTGAAAAGAGAAAAAAGAAAAGTTCACTTTATTCCACATTCCTCCCCAGGGGAGACTTTATTCATGACTTCATATTAAAAGTAATGGGACCAAATATCTCAAGTTACCTTTTCAAAGCAATAGGCCGAGGTAACTACACGCATTTGCTTGGCAATGCACACAGAGTGTCCAAGCCTGCTATTGTCCTGGGACCTGCAGCGGCTTGCTGGCACTCCAGCTGATAGGGGCAGGTAGACTTGAAGGTAGAAGGGGGCGGCCTACACCCTCAGTCTTCTGTGAGTCAAGCCTTATCCTCCCCTTTACCTTCGTGGAAAGAGACCTTTGAAATGTCTCTTCGGAGAACCCAGGCCCCTTCCATGCATGATAATACTTCTCATTTTAAAGTTCACGCCAGTTAAGATAATGGCATAATAGTCAAGGCTGTAATTTTAGTAACAAATATTCAAATATTTCTACAGGTTTCTCTCTATACTTTTTAAATAAAATCATATTCAAGACACCTTACCTAAATAGCCAACCCTAATATATATTAATGAATCAAACTGATTAAACTTTACTTCTCTGGTAGTAAAAATGACTTAATTATTTGACACATTCCATAAGAGAAATTGAGGAAGTTGAGCAAATCAATTATTCTCTCAAGTTGGTCACACCCTCCTGGTTTATAAACATGGCAGCAGAGGTTACCACCATCAACATTTTTAAGGCTGACTCACAAAATAAAAGGAGTTCATCTGAAAGGAGAAAACAAGCCTCTGGCACTGTTCTAGGAGCTCAATGGTACCAAGAAAAAAACTAGGCATCAGTACCTTCTCGTGGTAGGGCCCCAGCACAATCCATCCACAGAAGCAATAGCCAAAATAAATCATGGCTGCGCAGCAGCAGAACCTCATGACGTTGGGCAGCGCTGCCTGAAGGGTCAGGATAAGGAGCTAGGAAAGAAAGAGAGGTCCTTAGAATGCTTTTCTCCTCCAGCCAAAGCACAACTTCAAAAGGGAGAAAGACCAAGAGCACAGAGAGCCAGGAAACTCCTTACATTGTACTTCTGAAAGAAACTGAGGTATCGGATGACGCCGATCCACACAAGCAAGGTGGAGGTCCCAAGAAGTATGCTGCAGACATCATAACTTGTTAGACTCTGAAACAGAGTGGGAACAAGTGGTCAGAAATTCAACGGAGCAGGAACTATTTATTGGGTGGCTATGAGTTGGGCACTGTTCTGGGGCTGCAGACAAAACAATAAAAAGACAAAATTTCCTACCCTCATGAAACTTGCATTTTAATGGGGGGGGTGAGGGGGCAGCATTAAATTAATAAACACTTGATACATTAGCTGGTGATACATGCAGAGGAGAAAGTTCAGGAGAGGGGATAAGAAATGGGCAGGGGGGTGCATTTTAAGTAGGATGATCAGGGAAGGACTCACTGAAAAGGTAGCACTTGAGCAAAGACCTGAAGATAGTAAGGGAGCAAACCAAACAAAGTCAAGGCCAAGAGCCTTCCAGGCACAGAAACCAGCAAGTGCAAAGGCCCCAAGGCCGGAGGGTACCTGGCAAGATAGTGAGTCTGGCTGGGGTGAGCGATGAAGTCATAGAGGTAAGAGGACAGGTAGTTAGGGCCTTTTGGGTAATTGAACAACTTTACTTATAGGGTAGGGCTCTGGACAGGAGCCATATGATCCAATAGTGGCTGCTGTGGTTGAGAGCAGGTTGTCAGAGGAGTGAGAAGCCTACTGCAATAATATCAGTGAGGGCTAATGGTGACTTGGCAGAGATGATGAAGTGATTTTTGTAGGTAGATCAATAGGATTGCCTCTTGAACTAGATGTGGAGGAAAGGGGATTAATAAGAGAGAAGAGTCAAGGGTGAATCTATGGCTTTTGTCTTGAACAACTAAAGACAGCTGGCATTAACTGACGTTAGAAAGGAGAAGCAGGTTTGGACTGTGGAGGTGGGGACCTTAGGAATTCTGTTTTAGGTATGTTAAGTTTGAGAGGCCAGGCAGACAACCAAGTGAAGGTGTGGAATAGACAGTTGCATCTTTGAGACGAGTTGAGGGAAGAATTCCAAGCTGTAGACACAAATGTGGACATCACTGGCAGGCAGATGCTATTTGAAACATGGAACGGAATGAAATCACCAAGACAGTGGCAGTAAACAAAAGATGCCCAAGCATTACGCCTTGAAGCACTGTCACTTTAAAAGGTTGGAAAGATGAGAGGAACTGGCAAAAGAAAGTCAGAAGACCCACCCCTAGTCTTCTTAGGAGGGGAACCAGGTAAGTGATAGTCCAGAAAAAAAAAAGCATCACCAAAGGGGGAGTGTTCAAAGTGATATGAACTACTAATAGGTCAAAATGAGGATAAATAATTGATTCTTGGCCTTAGCAACATGGGAGGTCCTTGGAAAGAACACTTCCTGTAGAGAGGCGGGGCAGCCCAGACAGAACAGATATGAGAGAGAATGGGAGAGCAGAATCAGCAAGACGACAAACTACTCTTTTGAGGTCTTTTGCTACATGAAGAAGAGCAGGGAATTGGGAAGTAACCAAAGGGAGAAATATATTGACGTTTTGTCTTTTTAGAAAGGAGGAAAAACACTGATGGGAATGATGGAATAGAGTGGTAAATTGATGATGCACAAGTAACGAAGGAAACATAGTGGGAACTATGAACTTGAATGAGCAAGTGGGGACAGCATGTGATAGGCATACTGCATCCATAGTAACAGACAAAAAGCAGAATGTATGGGTACTGATGCTGGTAGGTAAATCAGTGAAGTGGGGGTTTGTGGAATATTTATTTTTTTCCTATTGTTCTTGTAAAACAGAAAATGAGGTCATCACCCGAGACTGGAGATGAGGCAGAGGCAGTAGAGGTTTCAGAAAGAAGAAAATATATGAAATTATAAGAGAAAGGCAATAAATGGTCTAGGAAAATGTGGAGAGAGCTCACTGAGGTCCATGTAGTTGAGGTTGGTGAAGACAAAGATTTGCTGCCAATCCGCCCCTATTCCTGCCCCCTGGATTTAAGTGCTCTGATGATTTACACAACAGCCATGTAGGGTGGCAGCTGCGCCGTGTTGACCTAAACCTGTTCTCTCCTTCTGAAGCACATGCACCCCTTGCAGTTAGATGTGACTAAATCCTCTCCGGTGGAACATGAACAGAAGTGAAGGCTACCACACTGGAGCCAAGGCTGAAAGACTGTTGGAGAACCACCCCCAGACCACAGCATGTCTGCGACCTATGTCTGAGACAACCCGGCATCAATTGTACAGTCAGGACGAGCCCATAATGGCTGGCAAAAAAAACAGATGGGAGAAATTTGGTTCCCTGAATTTGGGTGCCCAGAACTGAGCAACTCGCCAACCCCGAAAATCCACCCTGACTATTTCATGAGGGAGAAATAAACTCCCATCTTATTTGAGCCATTGCATTTGGGGATTTCTGACCAGGAATCTGAATGAAAACAGGATTATGCTCATTTTGACCAGGAATCTGAATGAAAACAGGATTATGCTCATTTTTAGTCACAGCCAAAGCTAGAAAACAATACATTTCAACAGGATTACTTTAAACAACATTAGTTTTTTAATAATAATTTTTGCTTTGGGTTGATTTCTAGTCTGGATTAGTCGTAACCCAAAATGAAAAACCTTATAGTCCATCAGTGGGAAAAATAAGAATATGGAAACATTCTCAAGTTAAATGGACAGGGAAACAACTACAGCACTCACATAACCATAGTTGGGCCTCACCCTGCACCCCCAAGCCCTACTCTGTTCTTGTTGAAGATTCTATCATGTCTAATAAGAAAACAAAAAATACCTCCTACCTGAGATAATACCTTAGTGTGTTTATGAATTTGGAATGTGTAAGAAAGCTCAGATTTAGTAGGCCTAACTGAGGCATTTTTACCAGGTACCCCAGTGACTCTGATGCAGACTTCTGTGGATCACACTGTGAAAAACCGCCTAAAGGATTTCCTGACTACATCTAAGAAAAGTGCTGCCACCAGTTCCGGGTTTACCCAATACGACGTTTGAAAGAAATCATTTACTCTACAAATTCTCATACTCTGGAAAAAAGAAATTACAGATAATGCAATCTGATACCAACAATGGCATACATAGGAAAAAAGTTTACCTTGGCTTGGATTTCCATTTTCAGAATTGATCCGATGATCGTCAGTAAGTCACTGATTATAATCATAATATACCATCCATTGACAAATTCCATTCGATCAGAAAAAGAGACCTCCTTCTTATAATGGAGGAGGAAAAAATTGACAAATTCCTTTGGGGAAAAGAAGGAGGTGGAGCACAGTGAATTTCTCTGTCGATCAAAATGTCTGTAACATGCCTAGAAAACAACCTCCGTACCTGTTGAAGTTGAATTCCTTTAATCACAGACCGAAAGCACAGGATTAAGGAAGCCAAGCAGATCAGAATGACAAAGGCATCAAAGATCATCATGTAGTGAGTGTTCCTCTGAACTGGAAGGGAAAGGATGACCTGTTTATGAAGTGAGACATTAATACCGTGACAGCTACTTCCTTTTTTCCTTTTCGTTCTTAGCCTCACTTCTTTTAAGTGCTGCATTGCATACCACATTGTATAAATGCACAATATGTTAAAGGACACTCAGGTTGTAATCTGACTGTATTGGTTTTTTTTTCCTACGAGAAGCAATTCTCCAAGCCCTCTGTGCACAGGTGCAAGGGGTTCTTTAGGTGAATGAATATGTAAAGGAGGAATTGTTGGGTCAAGGCCCATGTATATTTCTAAAACCAGATGCTAAGTAATTGTTCAAAAAGATCGTGCCTCTTTACCTACCTACACATATCTCCACATCTTCTCCACCAATGGATATCAGTAATCTTTTGTTTTCCCAGTAAAAATAGCAAATCTATTATTCCCAAAGGTTTGAAATGCCATCTTTATCACGTATATTACCCTTCTGAAGTTTTTTTAGTATTTTGGTGCCTAAGACAAATATCTCATTATTTTTTTCTGGAATCTTTACAGGCTATTCTTGCTTTTTTAATTTTTCCACAAATTACTCAGGATCAGATTGTCAAATTCCAATGAAAATCTTACTGGTAATTTTTTTGAAGGGGCCATGTTGAATATTTGGTTACTTGAGGGAGAACTGACATACTTATGAATCCATTGTCTAAAAACATGATGTGCCTTCTCATTGATTCACGTCTTCTTTTAGCATTCTTTGGAAGAGTTTTCAAATTTTGTATGGACCCTCCACACCCCTTTTTAGAGTAATTTAAATAATCCAAGTATTCCTTAGCCAAAGACAACACAGAGAAAAAGCCCTGATAAATGTTCTTCCTATAAGTATCTAGAAGGCTCAAAGTCCTTCTTTTAAAAATCACCAAAGCCACGCCCCTGCAGTGCCACTGCCTGGTGGCCCTCACCCGGTAGGTCAGCCTCACTGCGTACTTAAGCCACACCCGTCCCCCCAGTTCCCAGGCCCTTCTCAGATCGCAGCCCTGCCCCACCCCTGGGCCCCCTGTTCCATCTTCTGCCTCTTAGCGGCCTCAGGGCCCTGGATGTGCCGGCACAGATGAACCCACTTAGAAGATGGTGTGCTTGGAGCAAGGACTAGGGAGGGGCGTCGGCAGGGCAGTGTGGGGGTGGCAAAGGTCTTAGGAAGGAGAGTTGAAGGGAAGCGCTGGCTGATGTCTGGAGAAGTAGTTGCTAGAACACAGCCAAGTGAGGGAAGGGAGGGACAGAGGAGCAGGGCAAAGGAGTGCAGCGTTGGTAAGAGCTTAAATAGGGCCCAGGCTGCACCCAGAGCGGGTATTACCAGGGCGGAGGTGAAGGTGCAGCTGCGATCACACCCTTCCCAGCTGACCTGGGTGGCATGTTTGGAAAGAGGACTGGGCCCTTGTGAGCAGTGTTGTGAAGAGGTGGGTAGAGGAGAGGGTTAGACTGAAGATGTCCGGGGGCAGATTTTGAAAGGGTTTAATGGGCGCTGGGGGAAGGGGACACAGCAGAGTTTGTGTGGAACAAAGAGAACAGAGGTTTGCAGAAAGAAGAGACCTGTTGGTAGGCAGAGGTAATGGAGAATGTGAGAGCCTAGGAGGAGAGGTGGGGGGGAAGGACAAGAGAATAGGAGACAGGACACTGGGGCCGCATGCTCATACAGGTTTGGGGGTTCCCTTCAGCTGTGGGAAGAAAGAGAGAGCAGAGTGGAGCAGCATCACTGCAAACAATTCTACTTGCCAGGCCTTCGGCCTCTAACAGGGAGGGAAGGGCATGCGGGGCAGGTCAGGTGGGTTTGGAGAGTTGGAGCTGGCCGACGGTCCAAATGGATTTGCTTTTCAGTGCTGCCCAGCTGCCTCTCCCTTTCTTTCCTGGTTATGAAAGGAAAAAGAGAAAAGAAAAACTGGTGTCCCGGGAGTGTGGTAAAGGAGTGAAGGACTTTTCTAGTTTTTAGCGGTGCGAGAATAGGTCGAGTCCTGCTGTGCCGGACCCTATATGCTGCGCCGAGGCTCTGGCATCTGAGAAATGGACCAGCTCACACAGGACAGCATCTGGGCAGCAGGCTTATGAAATGAGCTCTTTATTCTCCAGACCTTTCCTCTGCTATTTAGATGCCAGTGGGGAAGTCAGCATTCATATATCAGAAATATCCCCAGTGAAATAAATGTCCCTGTCCCAGTGGATGCTGCCCCAGTGGGCATCTTGTTCTAACTGTGTGCTTGGCAAGGGGAAGGGCTGAGGGAGTTTGGGGGATGGTTCTGGTCCTGTAAGTGAAGTGATTGATGATGGAAAGGGTCTTCTTGGCTGTAGCCACTTTGACCAGTTCTCCCTAAAGATGAAAGTTAATGCTAATATTGTAACAAAATCAGGTGGCTCCCCTATGGATTTGAGGAATCAGGTGAGAAAGTGTCGGAGGATAATTGCTTTTCCCTCCTGTTGTTAAGTTTGGGACCTTTCTTGCCACGAGTTACTGAGTCTAGAAATCCTGAGTTGGTGTGGTTTTGTGACTGGGCATTGCTGAATAATTCAGACCACGGTGCTTTGTACTCTTCCTTATTTCCTAATGGTGAGTAATGTGCGGGCAATAACACTTCATTTCCTAGGGTTTATAGCTTCCAATTGGACTTCAACTATTTTAGGAGTAGTCACAGAATATGCGGCTCCATTTCAGCTTGAATTTTCCCAAATTTAATGGATTTAAACAGGACCGCTAGAAGGGGACCTAGAAGCTGGCCCCTGAACTGTGAGGTGCGGGCTGCAAAGCCCCTCCAGGAGGGAGTGCCCGGGCCACCTCTCTGACCCACATGGCACTTGTGCATTGGTCTGGGTGGTGGCACTTCTCCAACACCCAGGATAGCTCTGTCCTGTGGCTTCGTGCAGTGCCGTTTGGCTGAAGCAGTTTAAGTGGCATCGGCAGCTCCCGGGAGGCGTCTCCATGTCCCACGTGGCACTTGTGCATTGGTATCGAGGTGGTGGTGTCTCGAAGATGCCTGAGGAGAGCTCTACCCTGTCAGGAAGCTGGGGACAGTGTTCATGGCTTCTTGTGGTGCTGTTTGGCAAAGGCGGTTTAAGTGGCTTCAGCAGCCTCCAGGAGGCATCTCCTGGGACCAGGAGGAACAGATGAGGCAGAGGGAGCATCAGTCTACAGAGGACCAGCAGAGTTGCAGCTCAGTCTTTGGTTACTAAAGAAGGCAATCTTCTCAACCATAAGAACCGAAGATGTGGTAAGAACATATTGATCCAGAGCCCATGTGACTGAACCCTGGTTCTCTCAGTTTTGGTGAGCCAGCTATGTGAAGTTGATGGCTGGGACACTAACTTCTGGAAAGTGCAGCAGCTGAGAGATCACGGACATCTCCCAGCAAAAAAAAAGAGGCCATAAAGCTACAAATGATCCTCACGAACAACTATTGACCTCTGGGACCGGAAGCTCCAGGCCAATGGAAGGACACTTCCCTCCACCTCCCCTGACCAACATACAGCATCCCTCATAGTCTCAGCAATTGTTCACCAACTCCTAGATAAAATAGGGTAGGAGTGTTGTGGTTCTCAATAAGCAGGGTCTACTGTCCCATCCAAGCCTGAAGTAGCTACAGGAGACAGAACATCACCCCTCAGCAACCCTAAAAAGAAATTTGAGAAATGTACCTCTCAGAGGGGAGTTGTTGCAGGAGATAGCACAGGAAGAACTGTGAGACTATGCTGTTGTTGCTGGCCAGAGGCTAGCATCCTGGTTGCCAGGCAATGCCTTTTAGCACTTACACAGCAACTAGGAATGAGCGGCCAGAGGGGAAATAAAGGCAAGGCCCTCACTACTGCAATCTAACAAAAAATGTAATACAAGAGGCTAAAAGCAAAAGAAGACGTGTCTCACCCGTTGATCCAGTGGTCCTGAGCCTGGAGATAAGACTGCCAGGCACTCCGAACAACAAGCAAAGCTGTGATAGTGCAGAGGGGGGAGCCCTTGAAAGTGTGTGTATCATCTCCACCAGCTGGGAGAAGGAAAACTCTGAGACTGGGTATTCATCCCAAGGCTTAGAAGGGGAGGGATCTACAGTGCCCAAAGAAAAAGCCCATAGACAGCTTTGGTTAATTGCCTCCTTTTGCATATACAAAATGAACAAATGGAGCCTGGAAAAAGATAAGGATTCAGGCTAACAGACCCCCACACATAACCTTTGGGTTTCCTGTGGGAAACCTGGCACCACCTTTACTCTTCAATCAGTATGTAACTTCTTCACCCCCATCCTGTCAACTCTGTAAGTCCTCAGAACAAAAGTTTGCTCTCTTGGCTCTTTCACCATACGGGGTGGGGGCCAGGGCCTGGCCAGACAGCTTCTGGATGGGGGTCCCTGACCACCCCCTTTTTTGGCCACCTGGCCTCTTACCACCCTGGTTTTTCCTCCCCCATTAGAACTTAGCACTAATAAACTTTGCCTGCACACTTAAAAAAAATCACCACAACCATCAATCAGAAATCTTTAATTAACAACTTGTGGTGTCTTGTTCTTAAAACAGTTAGCCACACTGCATATCCTATGAAAATATACATATCTAGGTATAACATGTTTATTAATAATCCACCATGTGCCAGGTGAACAATGATGAACAAGATAGACAGCATCCTTATTTTTTTACAGATGAAGAAACTAAGGCTCAGAAGAGAACTCACATAGTCATCTTCTATCCAAAGTCAAAAGGTGGACTGAATGCCATTGAGAATTTTGGAGCTGAACTGGAAAAAGCCTAATGGAAAGACTTAACCTCATTTTCTAGCCTCTTGTAAGTAACTAGTGGTATGTTGTGCTGGACTTGATGAGTAGGTCAGGGACTCCTGGATTCCGGGGAGCAGAAGAATCACTCCAGGAACCTAAGATGCAGTTTCCCTGCTCCATGTGCACAGCCAGTATGTCTGGGGCGGGGCCTAGGAATATGCAGATAGTCCTTACTCATATCATAGTTGGGTAATAATTGCCTTAAGGTTTCCCACTAATTGATGCACAAAGTTCAGAAGTAGTAAAATGAGATAATAAGAATAAATAAAGTGAAATTTAATCATTCCAACATTCTTTTCACTAATAATAGGGGAACTTCAAATACATGAGGCTCTTGAATCACACCTTTTTTTTTTATCACAAATTACTTATTTGAAATCCAGCCTGCTTTGTCATCATCAGTAAACATCATAATACTTCTCCACAAACTGTAGAATAGGGAAACTGAGAGCCTGTGAAAGTGCCTGAAACACAGGCTTTCTTGCAAACACTTGTTTCTTGGTTTTTAAGTTTTTCTAGAGTAGATTGAGACCTTTGTGTGACCGTTACATGCCCCTTGGCCAATATAGTGGGCCGCCTCATTACAGAGCAAGTCGTCAGTGCTTTACCAGTAGAGAGCAGTCGGCTCACTAGACAAAGACACGCTCTGCAGCGGAGTGCACGGCGGCTGAGATCTCCGCCCGCCTCTCTCCACCTGGCTCCACTCACGCCGGCCAGGATGCTGCACTTGCACGTCTCCTCCTGGAGGAGACCCTCTCTGCATGGGTGGCTCTGTCTTGTCAGTCGGGTCTCACCTAAAATCCGCTGCCCCCTCGGGGAGGCCCTCCTCCACTCTGCAATATAAATGATCTCTCTTCTCCCCATTCCCCCACATTAACCCCATGCATGGGGAGCTCGCACGAACAATTTCTGATTCAGTGGGTAGGGCCGGAGAATGTGCATTTCTTACAAGTTCCCAAGGGAGGCCAAGAAACACTAATGTAGAGGGACAGACACTGGAGACAGACTGCAAGGCTTTGAAACCTGCCTCTGCCACTTACTGGCCATGTAACCTTGGACAAGTCTGTAACTCCCCTGTGCTTCAGTTTTCTTGCCTGAGAAGTGGGAATAATGCAGCCTGTCTCACTGGGGAGGCCGTGAGGATCAAATGACTTAATTCACACAGAATGCTTAGAACTCTGTGTAGCATGTCAATACACATTGGCTATTGTGCTTTATTTTCTTCATATTCTCCTATCTGAAAGTATTTTCTTCATTAACTTGTTTCCTTCCTTGCCTGTGTCACTGTAGTAGAATAGAGTTCCACAAAGTCAGGGATCTTGTCTAGCTGTAAAAATAGCAATACTGCCTATCTCAAGGATACTTTAAAATATTAAAATGAGAGAAAAATATAGGTAGAAGCACTTATGCAATAAGCATTTAAAACATTGGTTTGAGTGAGATTTTTTTTTTTTTGCTGGGGGGACTGTAAGTATTCTTCTTAGTAAGGAGTGAGCCAATGAGGGCACATGGAGAAGACAGGAAAAGTCATGATAAATACTCATAACTCACTGATCACCTGGAACATCAGGTATCTACAACGGATTGATCTACTTGCAGAGAGTTAGGGACCTGGAAATGGTACGGTCTTTCAGTGGATGCTCCGCATATCCCTGAGAGCAGTAATTTAATGACCGTTTTGGAAAGTAGTAAAATATATCACTTACGTGACCCAGACACATGCCAGTCTTTACATTCTCTGATGGAAATGTCGTTATCTAAGCTTATTTTAATTCTTCCACTATGGGCTTTGTTGTCAAATGTTATCTGCAAGAAAAAGGCAAAGGGTCAAAAACATACCTACAGTTTTTGAGGCCAAGACACCTCCATGCATTAATTAGAAAGCAATTCTTTCAATGTAAGAAGAAACCCAGAGTCTCATCCCTGACCTATTGCTAACTCTGTTCAGCCCTGGGAAGTTCGCTTTTATTTCTCTGTGAAATTTGAACTGTATCTTCCCCAGAGACTTTTCAGTCACAAAATCCTGTGTTCCTAGGACAATATTCCAGTCCTAGACAACTTCTAAAATAAGAGAACTTCCCCTCCTTCCCATTCTAAGTACCTCTAGATGCCCTCTTGATATGAGCAAGAGCTGGCACAAAGCTTCTAGTTATAAAATAAATAAGCCACAGAGACACAGTGCACAGCAGAGGGAATACAGTTGACACTGTAATAACTTTGCATGGTGACAGATGGTTACTGGATTCAGTGTAGTGATCACTTCGCGGGGTATGTAAATGTTGAATCAGTAAGTTGTACACCTGAAACCAATGCAATATTGTATCCTAACTACACTTTAATAAAAAACAAATTTTCAAAGAGCTCGTACAACTATGCTTTTCTCCACTATCCAGCAGTTCCTCAGCCAGGGGTAGGTTTTTAGTGCTGCTGAAATTCTGACTGACCCAGAGTTTCGTTGTTTTTCCTGAGACATTTCAGGTGGAACTTTTTTGGTTTTCCTTCTGGACCTAGATTCCCTAGTCACTGTAGAACCATATGTATTTCCAAGGATGTGGTCCCAGGGAACCCGCTGCCGTGGTCTGTCTTCAGGGAATAACTAGGGACGCCAGGCACACAGCGGGACGGAACCATGCCAGAACTCCCGCCAACCTTCCCCTGTTCTCCTTCCAGTTCCCTCCACATCCCCCTTGCAGGGTGAAGAAAAGCAAGGCAAGAAAATCTCTTTTTAAAGCACCTTCTCTCTTGAGTCCTTTAAAAAGTCTGTCATTTAAGTAAGTTTTATCGTAGCTTCTGCATGTAGGGTAATCGGATCAGAGGAAAGATATCACATCAATTTAATGTGTGGTCTCTTCGTCTCAGCATATTGGATTGTAAGCTTTTTTCCCTTGACAAGCAACCAAGGCCATTGTCAGTGTCTGTCTACCTCCACAGCTGCTGGAGTACCCAGCCTATCACCTCACACAAGGAAGATGCTCAGTATTTTTTGAATGCATTATAAATCCTTACCAAGGGAAAACCATGTTTTCCCAAAGAGCCTCAGGGTCTTAGGAAATATTAGGTGCTCACTAATATCTGTTGAGCAAATACACTTTGGTTTAATGTCAATCACATCTCACTAAATTCTTTAAACAAAGAAGAAAAATATTGGATGAAATTAACAGATTAAATAGTACAAGGGGAAAGATTAGTAAATTTGAAGGCATAGCAATAGGAACTATCTAAATGAAACAGATAAATAAAAGAATGAAAAATGAAGCAAAAAAAGAGAGCATTGGTCAGCTGCGGGACAACTTCAAATGCTCAGATACACATGTATACTTGAAAAAATTACACTAAGTAAATGTCAAATATAATGAAAACTATAAATCCACAGAACCAAGATGTTCAATGAAATCCAAACACAAGAAATGTGAGGAATAGTACACCAATGATCAAATTGTTAAGATCAAAGACAAAGATAAAAAATTGAAAGCATCCAGACTGAGGGGAAACACATTCCTCACAGAAGAACGAAGACTAAGATGACAGCAGATTACTCACCAAAAACAGTGACAGCGGGAAGCGCACCATCTTTAGGGTTCAGGGTGAAAAAAAACAACCTAGGATTCTATACCCACTGAAACTGCCTTTCAAAAATGAAGGAGAAATACTTTCTCAGACACACAAAAGCTGAGAGAACTCATCACCAGGCATCTGCACTACGGAAAGGTTACAGAAGGCCCTTCAGGCAGGAGGAAGTGACGCCAGATGAAAACCTGGAGCTGCGTGAGGGCATGAAGCACCAGGGAAATGCATAACAAGTGCCCTTTTCTTATTATTTAAATTGTTTGGAAAGGCAATTGACTGCTTAAAGCAAAAATAATAATAATTCTTATAACAAGTTTGTAAAGCAAATTGTATAACAACAACGTAAAGGCCGTGACTGAAGAAATGGAAACATATTGTTAAGTTCTTGCACTAGTTCTGTAATGGTGTGTTGTCTGAATGCAGACTGTAATGAGTTAAATACGTGCACTCTGCACCCAAAAATAATACGACAAAGAGTTATAGCTAGTGAAAGCTCACAAATGAGATACAATGGAATCATAAAAATACTCAATCCAAAAGGAGGCAAAGAAAAAGAGAAACCATATTAATAATCACATGCAATTGAATTGGTCTAAGCACCCTAATTAAAACAGACTGTAAGGCTGGATAAAAAACCAAGACTCAACCACATGGTATCAAATAAGAAACCCACCCTAAACAGAAGCCACAAATAGGTTTAAAATGATGAAATAAAAGAAGATATACCATGCTAATATTATTTTTTAAAAGCTGAAGTGGCTGTATTAACATCAAAGTAAATTGTAAAGCAAAAAACATTACCAGTGTTAAAGATTGCTATTTCAAAGTGACCAAAGAATTAGTTCAATTGAACACAAGAAGCCTAGATGTTTATACACCTACTAAAGAGCTTCAAAATACATGATGCAAGAATTTATCAAACTACTTTGAATGAATACTAATGTACTACTTTTACATCATAAACCAAACAGAAAAGGTTTAATAAATAGCTGTTAAATAAATTCAATAAATACTACATACTAAATACTTTGGTTGGTCCTTTATATATATTATCTTCAGTCTTGACAACAACTTTGTCCAGTTTGTGAGCATTAATCTCATTTAACAAGTGAGAAAACTGAAGCTCAAACCAATTAAGTAATTTGCCTAAAGTTACATAGCTACTAACTAGTGAACTGGAATTAAAGTCCAGGCTTGTCTGACAGCAAAGTCCCTGCATTTTGCCTCAGTTGCATGCTGCCCCATTCGTGTTTACCTATGACAACAAAGTACCCCCTAGTGGCTTTTATTATTAAACTACCGGAAGTTCTACCAGAGTCCTATAAGATGCATTGTTAAATCCATAATGCACAGGCATAGACTGAGATGATTCTACAATAATGATGAAAATCTAACATCTGCATATGTCTAATAGGTCAGGTTGCTTTTAACCATCATATTGAGTCATTTAAAAGGATCTCGCCCTGGATGGTGTAGCTTGGTGGATTAAGCACAGGCCTGCAAACCAAAGCATTGCTAGTTTGATTCCCAGTCAAGGCACATGCCTGGGTTGTAGGCCATGTCCCCAGTATGGGATGTGCTAGAGGCAACCATACATTGATGTTTCACTCCCTCTCTTTCTCCCTCCCTTCCCCATCTCTCTAAAATAAATAAATAAAATATTTTTTAAAAAGTTAAAAAAAAATAAAAGGATCTCCTAAGTCAATATTCAGAAATTGATGGCATTTTTATACACCAATAATGAACTATCAGACAGAGAAACTAAGAAAATAATCCCATTTACTATGGCAATTAAAAAATAAAGCACTTAGGAATAAATTTATCCAAGCAGGTAAAAGACCTGTACTCAGAAAACTTGAGGACACTGAAGAAAGAAACTGCAGATGATACAAATAAGGGGAAGCATATACCATGTTCATACACAGGAAGAATTAACATCATTAAAATGTCCATACCAACCAAAGCAATCTATAGATCCAATGAGATTCCTATTAAAATACCAATGGTATATTGCACAGATCTACAACAAATATTTCAAAAATTTATATGGAACCAAAAAAGACCCCAAATAACCTCAGCAATTCTGAGAAAGAACAAAGTTAGAGGGATCACAATAACTGATTTCAAACAGCACTACAAGGCCACCATCATTGAGACAGTCTGGTGCTGGTATAAGAACTGACACATAGATCAATGGAACAGAATAGAGAGCCCAGAAATAAACCCGTGTCTCTACAGTCAATGAATATTTGACAAAGGGATCACAAGCATACAATGGAGTAAAGACAGTCCTTTCAGTAAATAGTGTTGGGAGAACTGGACTGGTCCATACAAAAAAATGAAACTAGACCACCAACTTATACCATACACCAGAATGATCTCAAAATGGATAAGACTTAAACATAAGTCATGATACCATGAAAGTCCTAGAGGAAAACATAGGCAATGAAATTTCAGATAACCCACATAGCAATATTTTTGCCAATATATCTCCTAGGGCAAAGGAAATAGAGGAAAAAATAAACAAATGGGACTATATCAATTAAAAAGCTTCTGCATGGCTAAAGAAAGCAACATTGAAATAAAAAGGGAACCAGCAGTATGGGAGAACATATCTTCCAGAAATACATTGGACAAGGGTTTCATCTAAAAAATATATAAAGAACTGCTACAATGCAACACCAGGAAGACAAATAATCCAATTAAGAAATGGGCAAAGGACCTAAATAGACACTTCTCCAATGAAGACATATAAGATGGCCCATAGACATATAAAAAGATGCCCAACATCATTAACCATCAGAGAAATGCAAATTAAAACCACAATACAGTGTTATATCATACATGCCAAAATAGCTATCACCAATAAATCAACAAACAACAAGTGCTGGTGAGGATGTGGAGAAAAGGGAACCCTAGTACACTGTTGGTGGGAATGCAGACTGGTACAGCCACTGTGGAAAACAATATGGAATTTCCTCAAAAAACTAAAAATGGAACTGCCTTTTGACCCAGTGATCCCACTGCTGGGAGTATACCCTAAGAATCCCAAAACACCTGTTCAAAAGAATTTATGTACCCACATATTCATAGCACTATTTACAATAGTGAAGATTTAGAAACAGCTTAAGTGCCCATCAGTAGATGAGTGGATCAAAAAACTAGTACATTTACACAATGGAATACTGTATAGCAGAAGGAAAAAAGGAACTCATACCTTTTGCAACAGCATGATAGAAATGGAGACTATTGCCCTGGCTGGTGTAGCTCAGTGGATTGAGCATAGGCCTGCGAACCAGAGGATCACAGTTCGATTCCCAGTCAGGGCACATGCCTGGGTTGCAGGCCAGTTCCCTGCAGGCCAGTTCCCTGCAGGGGATGCCCAAAAAAGGCAACGGTACATTGATGTTTCTCTCCCTCCCCTCTAAAGATAACTAAATAAACAAAATCTTTAAAAAAAAAAGAAATGGAGACTATTATCTAAGTGAAATAAGCCAGTTGGTGAAAAGACAAATGCCATATGATCTCACTTATTTAAGAGGAATCCAATGAACAAAATGAACTAATCAACAAAATAGAACCAGAGCCATAGAATCATAAAACAGACTGACAGCCACATGAGGGGAGAGGGGAGGTAGTTACTGATTGAAAGAAAGTGAAGGGACTAGTCAAAGAACATATATGAAGGACTGAAGGACATAGACAATGGTGTGGGCACTGATAATGGAATGGGGGGAGCGGGACTCAGGCTGCATTGAAGTGGGGGAGGCAAAGGAGGAAACAGCTGATCCTCCACAGAGGGTGGAGGTTGGTGATTAAGTGGTCACAGCTAATCCTTGCAGTTGACTGGCCTGGGTAAATTCCTCCCATTGATCTGCCAACAGCAACCAAGGCTCAACTACAAGAAGAGGGTACCCTCAGCCCACATAAAGAGCACACCTTGAGTACATCAAGCTTGAGTGATGGGGGGGGCTGAGCTATTGGACCCTACAGAACACCCACTTCATTAAGGCACACTATCAAGACACAGAATCAAAACAGATCTACCTATTACATAGAAACAAACACAAGGAGGCTGCTGAAACAAAGAGACAAAGAAACACTGTCCAAATGAAAGAAGAGATCAAAACTCCAGAAAAAGAGCTAAGCAAAAGGGAGATAAGCAATCTATCAGATGCAGAGTTCAAAACATTGGTTATAAAGATGCTCAAGGAACTTAGTACCTCAGCAGCATAAAAAAGATCTAGTCAGAAACAAAGGATACACTAATTGAAATAAAGAATAATTGACAGGGAAACAACAGTAGAGTGGATGAAGCCAAGAATCAGATGAATGATTTGGAACATAAGGAAGCAAAAAACAAACAGAACCACAAGAAGAAAAAAGAATCCAAAAAAAATTAGGATAATGTAAACAGCCTCTATGACAACTGCAAGAGGTCCACCATTTGTATCATAGAGGTGCCAAGAGAAGAGAAAGAGACCCTGGCTGGTGTAGTTCAGTGGATTGAGCACAGGCCTGCAAAGCAAAGGACATGGTTCGATTCCCAGTCAGGACACATGTGTGGGTTGCAGGCCAGTTCCCAGTGGGGGATGCAGGAGAGGCAACCATACATTGATATTCTCTCCCTCTCTCCTTCCCTTCTCCTCTAAGGATAAATAAATAAAATCTTAAAAAAAAAGAAGAGAAAGCAAGAAATTGGAACTCGACTTGAAAAAATAAAGAAAACTTCCCTAACTGGGTGAAGGAAATAGACATGCAAGTCCAGGAAGCACAGAGAGTCCCAAACCAGATGGATGCAAACAGGTCCACTCTAAGACATATGCATAAATAAAATGCAAACAGTTAAAGATAAAAAGAGAATGTTAAAAGCAGCAAGACAAAAGCAGTTAGTTACTTACAAAGGAGTTCCATAAGACTGTCAGCTGATTTCTGAAGAGAAACTTTGCAGGTTACAAGGGACTGGCAAGACATATTCAAAGTCATGAAAAGCGGTGACCTATAGCCAAGATTACCCTATCCAGCAAAGCTATCATGTAGAATTGAAGGGCAGATAAAGCACTTCCCAGACAAGAAAAAACTAAAGCAGTTCATCATCACCAAACCATTATTACATGAAATATTAAAGGGATTTATTTAAGAAAGAGAAGATCAAACTATGAACAATAAAATGGCAAAAATACATATCAACAATTTAATCTAAAAAAACAAACTAAGCAAATAATAAGAACAGAGATAGAATCATGGGTATAGAGAGTATTTTGATGGTTGCCAGATGGGAAAGGGATTTGGGGGAATGGGTAAAGAGGTGAGGAGATTAAGAAGTACAAACAGGTAGTTACAGAATAGCCACGGAGATGTGAAGCACAGTACAGGAAATGGAGAAGCCATAGAACTTATACCCATGACCCATGGACACAAACAATGGAGGGGCAACTGCCTGAGGGAGTGGTGTATGCTATGTGTAAGGGGGAAAGGGAGAAAAATCAAGACAACTATAATGGCATAATCAAGAAAATATAATTGAAAAATTAAAAAGGATCTCCATTTCACAAGTGTTTATTCATTCGACAGATATTTGAGACACCTACTATATTTTTTGAGGAATGGAAAGATTAATAAAATGGTTTCTGCCTTCAAGGAGCTTTCAGTCTAGCAGAGTTGATGACAGACCACTAGAAAATCCTAAAATAAATGAGAAGGTGGTAAGAGCATAGGAAATACAAAAACAAATAAAAATCTGGGAGTTCAAAGCACAGAATGTATTTCTAATTGAAGAATCATGTAAGGGTCCATGAAGGAGGTGCAGTTGAGCTAAGCCTTGAAGACTCATAAAAATTTTGAAAAATACCATTTCCCAACTCGAAAGAGAGAGAGAGAGAGAAGACAAGACAGTGAAAAAGTCAATATTTTTAAAAAATCAAGTAATATTGAAAATTCATAAACCTGGTTAATATTAGGATGAAAATTTGTAGCTTAATTCAAAACAGCCTTGCAGTATCAGTACTTTTTCTTATCAAATGTTATGAACAATTACTACATTATACTATATTCTTAACGTTTTTTAACCTGAATATCTGAAAACTTGATTTCTTACAGACAATTAGTGGAGTTCCATGGACACAGCTTTCGACACGGACTGCCGAAGTAACAGAAATTTGCATCACATGAAGGCAAGTTGTATACAACACTTTCCTGCATATGACTCTAGTCCTCGTGAGGCGACAGACTCACATGACAGGCATCTTGTGCTCTCTAGAGAACATTAATAGCTCCATTTACAACTGACTGTGGAGAACACAGAAGTGATAGGGTGGGCTGACGGGGAGAAACTCACCAGAGCACTCAGAGACAGCACAAGGAAGGCACTGTGAGCAATAACCCAGAGGTTACAAACGTTCCTTCATGGTGAGGAAACTCCACAAGAACCTTTGACAATGATCGCAAGCACACAGCCACAGAGTGCTAGATGCTGACCACACAGAACCTTCTGTATTTTAACACGTACCCTGTGCCAGACACAGGTTTTGGTACTGAAGACACAGCAATAACTAGGCAAAGTCCGTGTGCTCATAGTACTTAGGTTGAGGTGCAGAAGACAGATATTTAACAAGTAAAAGTGTTATTATAACAAAATAGAACTAGCTGTACTAATGCTTCCCTTATGCACTTTCAAGTGAAAACATCCTATATATTTGATCATGACTTAATACAAGTAGATGAACATACAAGTAGATGAAACATTTTTCTCCAGGCTGAAACCAAATTCAGCCCAGTCCACACTCACAGTCAGAGTAAAGTCGTAACAGTCAGGGAGCTCGTGATGACGAATAGTCTGCAGATTAATGGCCTTCAGTTTAAACTTCAGCTCCACAGTGAGAAGCCTAGAAAACAGAGGAGACCTCAGTGCGGTGAAGGCGTGCATGCACGCACCTGAGCTCACTTGTGTCTGCTTCCCTCACCTGTGGAAGTCCAGCGTTAGGTTCAGTTTATTTTCTTCTAGTGTTCCAATGTAAAAAGACTCATCTGGGTCCACAGAGAAACATTCTGCCATGGAAAGCAAGGAAACACAACAGAACAGCCAAAATGAAAAAAAGTGCATCTTGAAAAGAGAATACTATATATATTTAAAACTAGACATTCAGATTCTAGTATTTTTTTGGATCAAGACTTTAAAGGCTAGACATCTATACTACTTGGTTACAATGATGCATTTGCTTTTCTGCAGTGGATGGGAGAGAAGGAAGGTCTGAACTCCATTTCATTAGTCTTCTAGAGACTGCGATCTTCCTCCCTGTCCTTTAAGCCTAAACTCTGAGTCCTTCCTACACTCCTTTTCTTTTCTGTACCCTAAACATAGGTTTGAAGCACTTACAGTGTCAGAGACAAATTTTTCTAAGTAAAAAAAATCTACTTTTTTAATATTATGTGTTGACTATTTTTCTTCAATAAGCACTTAAAAGAAATGAAGATGGCATCTTAGAAGTTTTACATCAGTCACTACTTTATTATCCTTCCCCACTCCCCCCCCAAAAAAATCCCAGTGGCTATTGTTGGAATACTTTGTTTTCTAATACTTTATTTTCTTTATATTACATTTATTGAAGTGACGTTAATTAATAAGACTAATACCTAGTTGTTTTTTTTGATGAACTAAGCTAATGTTTTAGGTACACATTGCAAATAACACTTTGCTAATAAGAAAAAAAATGTGCTCTTCTTAGTTCTGGTTCTTATTCCTACCCCAACTTACCCCCATAAATACTGAATAGTGAAATGCTATTGAAGGGAGGGAGTTTAAATACATCAAGAATTTACAAGCATAAGTTTTTGGAAGGATAATATCTGCCTCTTTAACTAGCTTCTGCAGCCTGAGAGGCTGTGGACTATCTGGTTAAGAGCCCAGGCAGCCCGGTCACTGCCCCCTCCCAACTCCCCCTTGAGCAGATTGCTTCCACTCTCAGAGCCATACTTTAGTCTTCTATGAAACAGGAAGAATAATAAACCTCACTTTGTTAGAGCTTTTCTTTTTAAGAATCATAAGTTACACACTGAAAGGCTTAGAACAGCACCTGACACACAATAATGTCTTCGTGTTTTTCCTAATGATCTGTTCACAGGGACCAAATCAGTATTTTCAGAGATGCAATTACTGACTTTAAATATAAATCAAGGAGTTAACAATGGAAGTTCCAGCTTATAGAACATTACCAGTTTCAATTTTGGGATCAATATCGAAGGTATCATTTCCAGGAAGGATGTTTCCTTGCTTGTAGAAGTGCTGACAGATCGCCATACCGGACCGCTCTGTGCCCCTATTCTCATAAGCATGGTTCCCAACCGAGATGTTGCGCAGCTGCAAGTACTGTGGCACAAAAGAGAGAGAGAGAGAGAGAGAGAGAGAGAAGTGAGGAAGAAAGAAAGGAAAGAAAAGGAGAGAAAAGAAAAGAAAAAGTGAGCACACCAGCCAGGGTGGAAGCAAAGCCATAGTTCCCTCCCTCCCCATCGGGACCTTGGCAGGCTCCCTCCCCCACTCTGGGTGGAGACCTTCGCACTGATGTGCAGTGTGAGCCACGTGCTACTTACTGTGCCCCCAGACAGCAGAGGAGCTAAGAGCATATGAGAAATAGCAATCTGAGTTCAAGTCACCTTTTGTCAGCCTTAGGCAAATCACAAACTGTCTGAGTTTCCGGCCCCTTATCTACAAAATTAAAGGCTTAAATCACATAACCTTTTTTCCTCCTTTAAAGAATTAAGTTCAGGAAATGGTTTTTACACCTTAGACCTATGTCCTGTAAGGTCAGAGTTTTGCTTTAGTACTGCACTATAGGAAGGGGGATACAATGGTTCCAAGCTGACCAGCAAAACATCTCATTAAAAATATGTCAATATTTATCTTTGTAAGAATACAGTTTAGTCACTTTCATAGCAATATTCCCCTGTCCTAGCCAATCCTTTAACTAAAACACAATGTTGCTTTTACTAATGGAGTAATTTCCACCTAAACCACTTAATGAATTTCTGTAGATGAAAAACACAAAACTAAGTGTTTCAGGCTTATTTTGAACAATATCATTGAACACAACTGGAATACAAAGATAAGGATATGGTATTTGTTTCTTCAAATTAATAATTTAGTGGGATAAACACAGAGATAAATAATGCTACTAAAAGAAGCATACAAGCCCTGTCCGTTGCCGCTCAGTTGGTTGGACATAGATAGTCCCACAAACCAAAAAGTTGCTGGTTCGATTCCCAGTCAGGGCACATGCCTGGGTTGCAGGTTCGGTCCCCAGTTGGAGTGCACACAGAAGACAGCTTCCCTCTCACACTGTTTCCCTCTCTTTCTCCCTCCATTCCCCTCTCTATACAATAAAAATAAAAAGATGCCATCATCATTGAAGGAAATCATGTACAAAGGAGGGGTGCAAAAAACAGACTATATATAAAAAACTGTGTACTTATTCTTACACGTTTAAACTTCAGTCTCCTTCAAAGTACTCGCCATTTGATGCAATACACCTATGAAGACTTTTTTCCCACTGCTTAACACAGTTTTTAAACTCATTGATTTTGATGCCTTTTAGTGCTTCTGCCATTTTTTGTTTCACCTCTTCCACATAAGCAAAATGTTTCCCTTTGAGGACTTTTTTTATCAGGGAAACAAACAAAAAAAGTCACTCTGGGCAAGAATGGGTGAACAGGGAGGGTGGGGCATGGGGGGGGTCATGCCATTTGGGGTCAAAAATTGCTAAACAACTCAAATGCACTTGTAAACCACCCACCATGAAATGGGCAAATGCACTGAAAGAGTCTTCAAAAAAATTCACTGAAACAGAATGCAGCCTCTCACAACAACGCCAGTCAGTAGTTGATACAGATGGGTTCCTAGAACCCTCACTTAGTGGGAGAAGTCTATACTACAAGAGACCCACCCTCCAGAAGATAATTCCAGGTTTTTGGGGCTCCTCCCTCATAATATTCACCTGTGGAATTGATTCTGAGCTAGGCCTGGTCTAAACAGCACATTACCAAATGTGGTGTTTAGTTCTCAGTTCTTAGTGCTTCTCACTTAACTTTCAGTTCTCATCTACATTAACTTCCCCACAGAACTTGGTGCAGTTGAGTGCTTTCCCCTTCGTGGGGGACCTTCTTCACTTGACTTCTAGAACACAGGCTGCTCCTTCTCAGTCTCCTTAGCTGACTCTTCCTCTTGCCAGTCTCTACATCTCCGAGTGCCTTACATTAAGTCTTCAACTTGTTTATCCACATTCTCTCCATGGTGATCTCAGCCAGCCCCATGATTTATATACTGTCTCATACTGATGACTTCCAACTGTGTAAGTTCAGCCTTGGCCTCTCCACTCAGTTCCATATGCGGGTGGGCAGCAATCTACCTGTGGTGCCTACGATGAATCTTGAACATAAATGGACAAACAAGAATAACTGGCTCCTTCTACAATAATTATCTTCTCAGTAAACAATTCCATAAGTCAATCCATTTTCAGGCCAAGACTTGGGAATAATCCTTTAGTCTTCTTCTCTCACACTGCATTTCCAATCCACCAGAAAATCATGCATTACTTTCAGACTACATCCCAAACCCAATCACTTCACATTGCCTTCACTGCTACTGCCCTGGCCTGCTCCACCATCGTCGCCCACCTGGTTAACCTGGTTTTCCTGCTTCCAAACTGGACTCTCACCACACTCCACCTTTATAAAGAACTCATAGGACTGTTACAAATGTTTCCTTACTACAGTTACAAAGAGTAAGTGAATTAACGCACCTAGGACCCTTAGAAAAGTGATACCCAAAACATGAACCTGTTTGAGACTCTGCTGCTGCTGTTTCTTCCTTGAGAAGAAAGAGGCTGCCACAGGCTGCCTCTCCACTCTGTCGTCTGTTCCTCCATCACCTTTGCAGAGATGCCTTCCCCCACCACTTCCACTCTTTCACTCTGCCTGCTTCTTTCATATGTTTACAGTGTACTTAGAGCCAACGGACAGACATCCTTATTCACTGCCTATCTCTTATTGGAATATAACTTCCTTGACTGTGTCTATTTGGTCACCATTGTATTTATGTACCAAAAGCAATATCTGAGACATAAAATGCTAAAATTAGCCTTGGCTAAGGTGTATTAGAGTCTCTCCCCTACTGACAGCCCTTCCACGGCTTCCTGTCTCTTAGGGTCAACTTCCAAACTCCTTTCCAGGACAAAGGAAGCCTGAGACACAAGGCCCAGTCCCGCCTGCGTTCTCTGCACTTTCCTGGCCTGCAGGGCCAGTGCTGCTGCCGCTCCTTCAGCCTGAAATATTCTGCCCTGGCCTTTAAGTCCTCAGAGAGGCCCTTTCTGACTGGCCTGTACCATTAATGCCCTCTGCTACTTTATTTCACTTCTAGCACTCACTGTCACATGAAATCAAGTAATTTTGGTTAACCTTGTTTAACATCCATCTTCTCCAGTAAAATGTACACTCCACAGGGCGAGGACTTTATCAAGTGCACTGCTTGAACCCCAGTACTTAGAACAGGAGGAGCACAGAATAGGTGTCCAGTTCATAGTGAGGAATAAAATTATTATAATGCCACAGTGGCTCTTCATTTCCTGGAGCTGATCTAGGCAAGTAATCCACTGGGAGAATTTGTGTGATCACAACCCCAAGCCTTCTGTGAGCACTGGGACTGGGAAAATGAGCCAGGAATCTATGGTAATAGAAGTAAGCAGCACAAATTGTTAAAGGGCATTATGCCCTACATGTGGGGGGAAACAGGATAATGCTGGAAATATTTCATTTTGAGATTTTTATTTTCTATTCAAGGCAATAGTGTATTGAGTCTTTCTAAAGCCACTCTGAGCCAAATCGGTAGTTTTATAAGGGGCAGGGAGCAGGGAGGGTATAAGAGGTAAAAGTCCATTAAATGAAAAAGAAGGTAAAAGGTACTGGGTGTAGCGATCTACTTCGGCGCATGACAAGAAAGCAAAGTTCTTTGGGAAAACAATAGTGCTAGGAGACAGAGAAGGCAGCAGGAGGAGAGGGAGACCAAATGTGAGATGGACTGACCCCATAGAAGAAGCCACAGGTGTGAGTCTACGGGAGCCGAGCAGGGGTTCTGCGGACAGGGCACCGTGGACACCACTCATTCCTAGGGTCCTGGGAGCTGGAGCTGACTCAGCGGCACATCATATACACAGGTACCCAGCTGACCAGTGTGCCTGGAATGTGGGGATTGTAAGGGAAGGTAAAGCTGGAAAAGCAAGCAGGGGTCATGAAGTCGAGTCATACGCACCTGGGGTCCTGTAGGCCCTCTGAGTGCCCTCTGTTTGTGAGGGAAAGATCTGAAACTCCTCACCACAGAAACTGTGTATTTAAAGCTTGTAAGATATTGAAACACAGATCTGAGGCACAGGGCTGGAGGGACCTGCTGACTTTACAAGCTATGCTATGGCCAGACTACCTTGCTGTGCAGAGGGGTGAGCACCTGCAAGGGTGGGATGGTTGGGGGCAAGCGGCAGGGCTCTGTCCGGCTAAAGGGCAGCTCTGGAGCCCAGGTCAGAGGGCTCTGGGACCAGAATGTGGTGTGGGACCATGGCTGGGAGGCGAATGCCCTGTGGGACTGACGGATGGGGCTCCTACGTGGCCGTGGCCTCTGTGAGGCTTTACTCAGGCTGGGCACCTGTCCCACTTGGCTCTGCAGCTCTGCCTTGAGAGAAGTTTTTCACGTAGATGCATGGGTCACCTGTCATCTTTTGGGAGACAATATAAAATATATGACAGACCCTTATCTGACTGATGTGGCACCCAAGCAAAGCAGATTAGAGCCACTGCTTCTTTGTGATCCTTCTGTGATCACCTCATCCTAACACACATAAGGAGCTTTTGAGCTTATTTATTCATTGCAAACATGTGAGTGCCTCTTATATACCTCTGTCTTCAAAGAGTAAGTACATTCAGTGTTATGGCACTGAACACAACATATAGATACAGATGTAGATATAGCTACATAGATATAAATGTAGATAGAGGTAGATATGTAATGAATGAGGAGTGTTATACAATTAAATCTGTGATTTTTGGTGAATCCTATAGAAGACAACCAAGAAGTGGTAAGGCAGTGGGTGGGGAAGAAGGGAGGCCAACCAGAAGTAGGAATTTACAGACTACGCTTAAACTGCAAGAGTAAATGGCTCTAAGACTCTGAGGCTTTTATATATAAGCAACTGGCCAGGAAGAGAAACAAGTCTGGGGAGGAAGTGGGCAGAGACCATGAACCTGCTTTGTACGAAGCTGTCCTCGGGTGCTTGTGGCTGCCTCGCATGTCACAGAGTAAGCGATTGTTTAGGAGTCACCTCATCTTGCTGGTTAGGTGATGGCTACAAAGCTGCAGAGAAGAGGAAATTTTACAGGAAAAAGACAGCCTTTGAGGACTGAAAAATTTATGAGGCAGATGAAAGGAAGGAACCCAGGAAAGATGACCCGGGTTGAGGAAAGGCAAGATATAATTTAAAACAAAGTAACTAGTGTCTGGACATTCAAATATATAAGCATATATAATAAACATAAAGTGATGTTATAACTAGCATTGGATCAGAATGAGTGCTCTAGGTAGAGGACAGCTGAGGGCTAAACCCTTTGGGACAACCAATTAGTCATGGGACTATCTCTAACAGCTGAGAAGCCACAGTCCTACCAGTTAGTTCCCCTCAGGGACCATCACCTCAATCGTCAAGATGCTTCCTTACAGCAAACAAAGCTCCCTCTCTAACAGCAGCCCATATTGTCCCTCTTCAGTTCTCTGGACCCACACAGAACTGAAGATGGAACCACATAGAACATAGACGCCTAACCTCATCAACCACAGAAACTCTAGTTACTCATGAAAATTGTGATCAAGACATTTTTATCTTAGGCAAAAAAATGCCTATAGTTGCTTGGAAGATGGTGGGCAATCATTTGCCCAAGGCAAACCACCCCAATTAGTATTGTCTACTTGTAGACTAGAGTAAGGGATCTACACCATTTCTACAAAGAATATGGAAATCTGATAAACAGAATGGCATGAATGCCAAATAGTACTATATACTATATATAGTACTATATATATTTTAAAGATTTTATTTATTTATCTTTAAAGGAAAAGGAAGGAGAGAGGAAGAGAAATATCAATGTATGGTTGCCTTTTGTGCATCCCCTGCTGGGAACTGGCCTGCAACCCAGGCATGGGCCCAGACTGGGAATCGAACTATGACCCTCTGGTTCACAGGCCCGCGCTCAATCCACTGAGCTACACCAGCCAGGGCTATATTTTTAAATTAATTTTAAGTCTACTAATAAAGGTAAAAATGTTTTAGGAGGAATTTAATGAACTGTTTACTCCGTGCGTCTATCCTCTCCCCTCAAAAAATAACTACCAATTTGGTTTAGAGTAGCTTTAGAGAAGCTTAATAAACTTCAAACAAAAATCTCCATACTATCTCCAGTAATATACTATTTTTTCCTTACAAACTGAATGACATAGTTCTGTTTAACAACTTATGCAGCTTACTTCTATTCCTGTAGAGTTGGGGCCAAGTTTGGAATCAGAACGCTAGCAGAAAGCCACGGGGCTGTAAGTACATATCCGGCCTCAGCAATTTGCATCTCCCTGTGCAGAGCACCTTAGACAAGGGGACTGCATTGTAACAACTGTTTGAAGAAACATCGTGATAATTTTGAAATGTGGTCTGCAAAGTAACCCGTGTTGGAAATACTGACTTCAAGAACACTTTCTAAGATACCTACAAAACAAGAGATTTGGGATCTTGACAAACTACTGTTTATAGCAAAAGCAAACTGATTAGAAACTCAGAATAGGAATTTGACTCATCTGTATGAACAAGCTTACTTTTATGGCAGCTAATCAATATTACAATAAGATCATTGTCATGCCTGGCATAAAAGCCTTACTTATTTTTTAAATGAACTTTCAAGTCTGGGTTGCTATATATACTCTGCAAAGTGAATATTCTCATTGAGTGTTTAAGAGCCCCTAAAACTATAAACTCTGAAGACTTAATGACTACTTACAACCAGGGTCATGGTTAATAATGTTAAATCTTTGAGGCTCTCGTGGCAAGCCACAGTTCTGATTCTTTTAATTAAGTTGCTAAAGTTTCTGTCTCTGTGTTAACCAAAAACTCTTCTCTATTTCCAGTTTTGTAAAGTTTGTTGGAAATATTTTTTAAAACAATTTTTAAATGATTGTATACATGTCGTTTACACGTCATCACAGAAATGTTATCCTTCCCCATTTAAATGTCGGTTTCTGTTACACACATTGCTCACTATTTTCCAGTCTGTTCTTTCTCCCAAATAAAGCATTGCACAGGCACCTCAGAGAGAGGAAAATCAAGTGAACTCCATCACAGTATCTGTGGATTTAAAAAAAAAAAAAACGCAACACTTGATTTACCTGGTTCACCGCAAAGAGGATCTGATTGTACACGTCGCGCTGTGTGTATACTGCATATGTGTCATCTGCTTGGTCCACGTACTCTTTTAGGAAGAGGTGTTTGAACGCGACAGTGTTATCTTCCTTGAAAGCTACCACCATCTGGTTACTCAGCCCAAAAAAGACCAGCTTAAGAGAAAAAAAGAAAAAGTAAGAGGGTGAAAAAGCAACAAAATAAAGGTCTCCACATAATCAATTTCTTTCTATTCAAGATACAGTGTCTAATTAATCCTGAATATGTTCAATAGAAATTAATATTTGGCAGCTAGTGAATTAATTTACCCTTAAAGATGAGATTGGTTTCTAGATCCAAAGCAAAAGAAAATGGCTTTGCATCTTTTCGACATTCATTTTCACATATGATCGTACTTATGGCATTGCCCCAGCCATCTAAAGCTTTAGGAGTTTGGAGAAGTCCTTTTGTTCTTCGAGTGTTCAGAGGAGCAAAGCTACTTTGGCTACAAAATAGGAAGGTTTACTGAAAAATAAATGAGAGAAACCCTGAAGTATGTGCAGAACCAGGGCAGAGGACATCTGGGGAGCTAAGAAGGTAGTAGAGAACTTTAACACTTGGGAGGACATAATTCAACTAGAGGAACAGTGAGGAAAAAATATTAGTGGAACAAAGGGAGACAGGTGGTTCAGGGACTTGAACAGCAAGTAGGGAGTTTAAAAATGAATTCTGAAGGATATCAAGAAGGTATCTAATAGAATGTAAGAAACACTTTAAATAAATCTAAGTCCTACAAGCTATATTTCTAGCTCTAATTACCAAAACTGTGACAATAAGACCCAAAATAAAAAACATCCTTTGAACTCATCTGTAAATTATATTAATATAACATATCCTTAATATTCATGCAGGATTGACCCCAGACCTGCACATGAAACCAGCTGTTCACACACAGAAAGTCTGTTTAACTGCACCGCTATCCCAGTAACATAAACTCCGTCAGTCATATCCAAAACCTACTTTATTCCACCCTACTTTATTCCAGGTCTCTTTCACCTCTCTGTCCTTCTGAACCACCTCAATCTCTCTCTATTCCCTACGCCACACGGACTCGTACAGGAACGTACTCACGTGCACGTAGTTTAGAACAAACGCTCTGACGTCAGTCCCACAGTGAGCAGGGTGTATTTTGTACAGGAAAAGAGACGGACACTGAGCACCTAGGGGCGACACTCTCTTCCAGAACTTTCCTCATTCTAATCCCACAGGATAGTTTCTTCATGTCCCACTTTACGACACGAGTACAGAAAGGTTCAGAGAAGTTAAATAATTTTTCTAAGTCCTATTACCAAAAAGAATATAGTTAAAAACTTGAATCCATCCAACAGACCAAACCCAAGCTACACAAAGTACTCCAGAGTCCGACCAGGAAAAACAGAGAGCAGACAAAGCTTCTCCCCTTTCTCCTCGCCTTGCACACGTACGCCCTATACTCTACACATGTCCCCTCTCCTCACCTAACTCCACTCCCATTTCCCAAGAGCCTCTTTAAGTTGAAAGTCCTATTTAAATCCTAATAACTAACGTGGTTGGATATTCCAGGAATTTTTACATCTATTGAAACCGAAAACCAAAAAGCCTCCAGAGAATTCACAAACACATTTCTACCAACTCATTCAAATACAGGAAGACCTCCCATGTGCTGGTCCTGAACTAGATGCTGAATGAGAAGTCACCAGTCCCTGCCCTTTCGGGCCTACAGGCGGACAGGCGGGCCCCTGGCTGAGACAGAACTGCTATGACTAGTAAGCTGAGCCAGGACATGGGAAGTACTAGGATGCCCATCATTTTACCCATCTTTCTTTTGCTACCAAAACACAAAGTCTCCAACTTAACAGAAAATCCACCTTCTTTTTCTCTGAAAAGAGGGACTCTGTCACCAAGTCACCCTTGTTGATTAGTTACAAAGTTGTCTTTATGTAATATTTGCTTGATTGCTCAGATATAAATTAAGGAAAGATCTCAATTAAGAAACCCTCAGTTCATTTCAAAAACATGCTGAACTTACCTAAATGCCTTTCACATGTTTGTTGCTAACAGGCTTAACATTTTAAACTATTGGCTAATTTTCCTCTCGACCACTCTAGGACACACAGGAAGATGAGCTCCCTAAAAGATTAAGGAGTAATTAAGATCCTAAGTCTCAGAGGGAATAAATCTGTTGAAATTTCAGTTCTGTTCTTCTGGTTTCCTGACTATGAAAGGCTATTTTACCTCACTAAGCCTCAGTGTTCTCATCCATGAAATGGAAATGCCAGTATCTGTGATTTAAGAATCCAACAAGATGATGTTCAGACTGAAACACAATTCTCATTTAGATAGAAAATATTCATGTTCAAACATTTGCTTTGAATGAGAGATAATTACTTTCACCAACAGAAAAACGTATGTGCACAAGAGTAAATCACAATCAGTATGAATAAAGAATCGAAAAATATAGGCTTTTCCAACTTGTCAAATATATACTGAGAGCTGAGCATCCATTTTCATGGTGATACATTAGAGAGAGTGCCCCAGCCCCTGAAGTCCTGTTTCAGCCGCTGGTGCTCACCTGGATAGTCACCATTGCAAGTTTTATAATTTGAATGGCAAGTTTCCATGGTTTTCTACCTCGAGCCCAGAACTTCTCACAAGGATTCATGAAAAAAAATTTGAGTTTTCGCCTCATCTGGTCTTCTAACAGCAGCTGCTCGGAGGGAGATGTGTTCTGGTTAAAGGTGCAGCAGTTTTCCTCCTGGCGAGAGCTGCAGCTACTTATAACTACCTCGGGGTTCGCCATCTCTACAGGAAAAAACAAACAAACAAACAAAAGGGTTTCCATTCTGTACGTGAAGGCACAAGTTGATATTCTTTGCTATTGCAGGACAGTTGAAGGAGCCTAAACTACAGATCCGGTTGCAAACAAGCACCACTGTTTTCAACTGCACTTTAGATGGTTAGAAACTCAATTAGAATATTACAAGCCATTTTCCTTTTTGTTTGTTATTAAATGAATATTTATCCAGTTGAAATTTACCAAATGTTAGGGCTGCTTCTATTAGTAAAAAGTTACATGTACATGCACATATACACAGTACAATCACCTTCCTGTCTCATTCACTAACAGCTGTAGTTGGGACGTGGGGTGTGATCCAAAAGCCCAGGTCAGGGATTCAGAGGGTAGATGGGCCTTGAAACTACGTGCAAAATGTTTTTTATATGTGGACATGGCTACTTTTCTTGGGGAGGAACTTAAAGATGTATCAGATTATCAAAAAAAGTTTTAAATCAATGAGTTCTGTTTGGTTTTTAATCCTGGTTCTACTACTTGATACTTTTAGGACACAAGGCAAGTCACTTAGCCTCTCTGACCTCAGTTTTCTTTTCTGCAAAATGATGATAACAGTAGCTGCCCTCATGTGATCGTATTGAGCATTAAATGAAAATGCAAATAAAGCCACTGCATAGGGTCACTGCAAAATGAGGCTGCATAAAAGCAAGCAGCCTGCCCTGGCTGGTGTAGCTCAGTGGATTGAGTGCAGGCCTGCGAACCACGCAATCACGGTCTGATTCCCAGTTAGGGCACATGCCTGGGTTGCAGGCCAGTTCCCAGAAGGGGACTCACGAGAGGCAACCATACATTGATGTTTCTCTCCTTCCCTTTCTCTCTAAAAATAAATAAATAAAATCTTAAAAAAAAAAAAAAGCAAGCAGCCTCACTTTCCCTATAGCCCCTGCAGACAGAGCGGTTTCCTGAACAGCCAACAAGGCTCTAGGGGCAGGCAGTGTGTGCCCCAGGGACCTTAACTGTTCCACAATGTGGAACAAGAAACTGCAAATCCCAACGAGCACTTAGGCTGTTTCCAAATCTTGGCTATTATAAATGTCCATCAGTAGATGAGTGGATCAAAAAGCTGTGGTATATTTACACAATGGAATACTATGCAGCAGAAAAAAAGAAGGAGCTCCTGCCTTTTGCGACAGCATGGATGGAACTGGAGACTATTGTGCTAAGCGAAATAAGTCAATTGGTGAAAGACAAATATATGATCTCACTTATAAGAGGAATCTAATGAACAAAATAAACTAATGAGCTAAACAGAAACAGAGGCATGGGATTAGGGAATAGACTGACAGCTGTAAGAGGGGAGGAGAGGGGTGGGGACTGATTGAAAGAAGGTGAAGGGATGAGTAAAAGAACAAGCATGAAGGACCCATGGACATGGGCCACAGCGAGGTGATTGATTATGGAAGTGGGGTGGGGGGCGAAGGTGGAAAAATGGGACATCTGTAATAGCATAATAAAACATCAAAAATGAAAAAAATTCCAATCAGCCATGTCACTTGTATTTGCCTTTTATCGAAGGCTTTACGTTTCTGTAGCACATTTTACTTTTCAGTAGTACTTCATACCTATGATTTCTATTGTCCCTTTGAAAAGGATAAAGCTGGTTTTATTGTGTTTATGGTCAGCTTTTCCAAAATGACAAAGACGTCACTACAGAAACTGGGACCTATCTTAGATTTTTCCTCCAACTATTAGTGATACTATGGAAAAATGCTAAAAAAAATACCCCACACCACCAGGGAGAGTACTGTCCTGACATTTAAAAGGCTGGCTCTGATATTTTCCCACTGTACTTGGAAATGGAGGGAGGGTTCAAACTGTACTAACGCAGCATCTGACAAGCCACTGTTTGGCACCATGCTGTTTTTCATGACTAGACTCCCACTTCCGGTTCCGATTCAAACACTCTCAGCAAACAACATTTCCAAACAATAAACAGTGACTATTAAAACTAGGCATTGGAAAAGTTTTTAAACTCTTGATTTAAAAAAAAATAATAAGGATATTACTGAGTCAATGACACATAAGACATATTTACGATAGCAAACGAACACCTTCAAACCAAAATAATTATGATAGAACTCATTAAAGTGTGGTCTGTATGTTAAAATTCCTTTCACAGTGTAAGTACAATAATTCTTAGAGACATATAGGCAAGAAAAACCTTATTAACACCTTAAGATTTTCACTCAAGAACTAGTTATGCCCTTTTTCAAATAGGTATGATACTTTTAATCAGCATTTTAAAGGACTTTACTTATGGCACTTAAGATGAAGATGATTTACTTTTTTTGTTGTTGCTCTAAACTTAATATGAACACCAATACAATGAAGCTCTTCATAAAACATGTTGGTGAATTACAGATTTGAGGTCACATGAAGCCCTATTTTGATACACGGAAAATTAAACTTTAAACAAACTGGTCAACTGCCATGTAACAGTAACCCACAGGAACAAAGAGAAAACGAGCCATCCCAATTAATTAATTCAGCATGTGGCGCTGAGTTGTCCAGACATTACATTGTACAAAAACAGTAACTGCTAAACTTCCTGCAAACGTGAACTTCCCAGCATCACTCACGCCCTTCCGAGCAGTGGCCCCCATGACAACTGAAACCTGCCCAGACCCCTCGCTGAAGAAGGGCGGGCTGCAGCCCTGCACACCCGCCCCAGAGCTCAGATCGCCCCCGCACCCACTCCGTACCCGGTGGGGGCGCCAACACGCCCTGCCGGGCCTCCTCCAGACCCCCGCATACGCCCCCACTGACCTCGGCGGGGCGGCCAAGCAGGCGCTGCGCCCAACTGCTGCAGCTGGTGCTCCCCTGCCACCTGTGTCCCTTCCATCCGGCCGATGTCCGGGGACCCGACCCTCCCGCTTTCTGTCACCGAAAGCTCTCGACATCACAGTTCCTCCCTGCACCGCCGGCACCACGCCCAGGACACCTGATGCCTCCGGGCGGTGCAGGGCTGGGCTCACCTGCGTCCAGCAACGCGAGGAGGGGGCGCCGAGCAGGGAAAACCCGGTGACCTGGGCAAGCAAAGTCAGGGCGCCTTGTTTGGTCTCCTCTGCCCCAGGGGACAACATGTACCAGGGCGCTGCTGTACAAGTCTCTGAGGCCCAGCTCAACCAGGAGGAGCCGCTGCCGGTGGCATCCTTCCCCCTCCAGCCGCTGGAACTCGTGCGGGCCGCCCACAGCTCCGGTTCCCCTCCACGCCCTTCTGGGGCCACCGTCCAGGAGGGCGGGGGAGGCGTGGGAGTCACCGGACTCGGACACCCCCACCCCTTCCCTGCACGCCTCTCTGGTCCCAGTGAACTACTCGCACAATCCTACTGGAACTCTCGCTGGTCGAGCAGAAGCTGCCGCGAAGTGAGATGAAAGTACCCTCGCTTCAGACCCAGAAGGGCTCACCCAGCCCTCGGTCCCATTCCTCTCACGTGGTTGGAGAGGGGCGGGCTGCCCAGACAAGCGCACTGCACGGAATCTGGCTGCTGGTCGGAGTTCGTAGTCCTTCCTCTCTAACAGCTGTGCATGCCAATTTTTGTACACAGGGGTAATCATGACGTGTACGACTTTTCCAGCCTAAGGCCGGGACCCTCCCTTAGGCCTTCCAGTTTCACAAAATTGCTATGAAATTAATGAACTGTTGGCTAGACTCCTCTAGACCGGGTGCTGCGACATAAAGAGCGCTGGAAATCTCTAAGAAACGGGACTAGAAATATTTGAGGTAATGACAACGAACGTGTCTGTGCCTGGCCAAACTTTAGTCAGGCTCCTAAACTTTCTCCCAGGCTCATTTGTGCATTTCCTTAGTAAAAGTCAGTTTTAGCAAGAACTCTGCTAAGTCAGTTTACCAGAACCGCCCCCCCACACACACACCCTCAAAATCTGATGGGGTTCCTTATCTTCCACCATCCCTCAGGTGAGGTCTGATCAGCCTGGCCTGTTTTCAGGTGGGTGCGTTTAGCCAGAACCTCCTTCGCCCCTGTTGTTTTTCATCCACCGGACCATACCACATTTAGAGTTGATCCCCCTCTCTCCCCCACCGTAAAACCCCATTGCAGTGGTCCCTAGAACTGTCTCTACGGTCCTCAATAAAGTGCATTACACCTTTAACAAGTGCCACTGAGTATTTTTTTTCTTCAAGAATAGACCTCCAACCATAACCTTTTTCTTCATCATTTTTTTAAAAATCAAACCTGAGTTTACTCCCTGTCAGGAATAGATGAGGAACTTTGATTAATTTAAATTACAAGTGCTTTGGATATATTTTAATAGATTTTGAGGGTGGGTAAGATTGTAAAAATCACCGAATTTTCATAACAGGTAATTCCCCAAATTATATCAAGAGTTGGTGGACCCTTTACAAAATCTTTTTCCAATCCTAAACTAGTTTGCATGGATAACTTATACATGGAAATTCCTATTCTTGCAGTGGGGTACAAGAATTGCTTGCTGTTCATTAACCCGAATCCCAAGTGCTGTGAACAAAGTAGATACTCAAAAGGCAATAATTGGCACACTCAATTCTCAAGTGCAATTTGGAAAATATAATTTAATCTCTAATGCCCATTTGCCTCCACATGCTTTAACACCATTTCCTCACAATAACAGTGAAGTCATCTTGCCAGTGGGAGCTTGATTTTTCTGAAACAACCTAAACTTTGCAGAGGTTCACAGGTATAAATGATACCCCTAACTTAACCCTAGATTTGACTTAAGTAGACACATGAATAGGAAAAAGCCAGGCTCTGGACTCAAATGGTGGGGGCTCAGATTCCCTTCTGTCCCACTTACTGAGTGACTCAGGGAATTACTTAACCTCTTCACCTCCCATTCTTTCTATGTATAATCCAGTTAATAATAGGATGCAGGCAAAGCATTTATTACTGTGCCTGGCATACTGATTTTTTGGAGCGGGGTCTAAATTAGTAAAAAATCAACCATGTTCATGAATTGTAAGACAAAAAGATGTTAATTCTCAGCAAGTTTATTTTATAAATTCAAGCTAAGATCAATCAAAATTCCAGCAAGCTGTTTTGTAGAAACTGCAAAGCTGATTCTAAAATTCACATGGAAATACAAAGAACCTAGAATAAACATACAATTTTTTAAAATAAGGAAAAAATTGGAGGAAAGACTTACCCTACCTGATTTCAAGACAGTTTTGTATGTGTGCACAGATACATAGAATACATGTAGACAATGGAACAGACTAGAGAGTCCAGAAGTAGATTCACATGTATATTAGTCAGTAGATTTTTGACAAAGGTACTGAAAACAATAGAAAGGGAAAAATTAAACCTTAGCAATCAACATAGCCATACTACTGACTTAAATGAATATAGTCACACCAAGTCAAAAGGAAGACAGGAAACTCTGCCATGCAAGAGTCAAAGATTGAGGTCAACATCTCGGAAGTATGACAGGAGCACATCAGAGAAGCAGTTAAAACCTAAGTAGTTTACTTGTAATTGTCATGTTATATGTGTATGTACCTGGCCCTGCTGGTAATTAGTTCATGCAAATGCAATAGAGATTAATAAGTTCATATACATACTAATCCAATGAATGGTATTTCAAGAAATAACAAGTTTTGCAATCAAAACTCCCTAAATTGGTGATTTCAACGTATTTTTATGCAATACTATTGATCTTGCTAGGACCCCCAAAATGTACGTTATCTGAGTACTACCCAGTCATGTTTGCTTCATCTTCCAGTGTTTGAATACTCACTAAACAATATAGTTCTTTGCAAACAGGTTAAATATTTCCATTATTAAACATGTAAATGAGAATTCCGGTCAGATGGCAGAGTAGGTAAACTATGTCCTTGTCTCTTCCCACATTACATCAAATTTACAACTGAATTATACAGAACCACCATTATTGAGAACCACCTGCAGACTAGCTGAATAGAATTCCTATATTAAGGATATTTAGAAGTCATGTGGAGATGGAGGGTCAGAGACATAAAATGAGCAGGTCGCATATCCACGGTGGGGTGATTAAGAATTGGAAGGGATCCCTGGCCAGTGTGGCTCAGTTGGTTGGAGTGTTGTCCCATAACTGAAAGGTTGTGGGTTCAATTCCCAGTCAGGGCACATCCCTAGGTTGCAGGGTTTCAGTGGAGGTCTGGGTGTGTAAAGAAGGCCACAAATCGGTGCTTCTCTTTTGTATCGATGTTTCTCTCTCTCCCTCCTTCTCTCTCTAAAAGCAATGAAAAATGTCCCTGGGGTGAGGATTAAAAATGTCCCAGGGGTGAGAATTGGGAGGGATATCTCTGCAGGGGTCCTCCCTAAGGAGCAAAAAGTTCCAGCCTCACACCAGGTTCCCCAGGCAGCAATGCTAGGGAGAAGAGTACCCATGACATGTGGCTGTGAAAACCAGTGGGGATTGTGTCCTAGAAAGACAACAGGCTGCTAGAGACCAAGGCACTGTTCTTAAAGGGCCCATAAACAGACTTACAAACTCACTTGCTGTCACCTCAGCGCAGAGGCAGCAGCCCCAAAAGAGCCAGGACATACAGGGAAGAACTAAATTGACTAACTTCAGGGCCAGGGCTGGGGGCCAAGAGGTGGGGCAGCTTTTTCTACGGACAGAATCAGTGGTATATGCTCTTCATTAGACTGGCAAACACCTCTGCCCAGCCCTGATGACTCCCAACTTCAGCCAAGCCTTTGGCTGGAACTTCTTTTAGTGGTTCCCCCATACAAATGGCCTACCTCAGCTCATGCTGTAGACTTTCCCAGTATCTCTCAAAGATGCACAAACATCAAACAAGCCACTGTGTTCCGTGTAGCTCTTGCTAAGTGGTCTCATGTTCACCAAAATCAACAACTGGTCTCGACATTCATTGTAACTCCCATCAAGTAGCCCCAAACCTGGCATAAGCAGTGGTCAGTCTTGACCTAGAACTTAGGTTCAACAAAGTGGCCACAAGCCTGGCACAAGTGGTGGTTGAACTTGGCTTGCTCTAGAGACTCTATCAAGAGGCTTCCAGACTCAACAACCTGATGGCCAGCTTCAGACCAGACCAGAGCACCACCAAACCAGCTCAAGTGACACACCCTAAGGGTGGTTTCAGCAGGCAACAGAGCCTTGCTGAAGTGACTCTTACTCTATAGTGTTTGCTCCACACACAACAGTTCATTTGCTGCAGTCATGGACAGCCGTCCCAGCCAGAATGCCTGAAGGTCAATCCCACTCACTGACATGCCAACAGCAATTGAAACCCAGCTACATAAAAGGGCACACACAACCCACACAGGGGACACCCTGGAGCACTTGGCTCAGGGAGACTGCACCACAGGGCCCCACAGGATGCCTTCTACAAAAGGCCCCTCTGTCAAGGCCAGAAGATGTCACATATCTACCTAATACATAGACACAGTGAGCCAGCCAAAATGAGATGAAGAAACATGTCCCAAATGGGGGAAAAAAAAAAAGGACAAAACTGCAGAAAAGGAACTAGATAAAATAGAGACAGGTAATTTACAAGATACAGAGTTCAAACCCTGGTTATAAGGATGCTCAAGGAGCTTAAAAGAATAATAGATAAACTCAGTGAAAACAGCAACAAAAAGACAGAAAACCCAGAAAGAGCCAGTGAGAACTGGGAAATGCAACAACTGAAATTAAAAAAAAAAATACACTAGAGAAAATCAACAGCAGATTAGAGGAAGAAAAGGGTCAGTAAGCCATCTGGGAGACAATGCAGTGGTAAACACCCAATTAGAACAACAAAATAAAATAATTTTTTAAAAAATGAGGATAGTTTAAGAAAACTCTGGATCAACATCAAACAAACCAACTTTTATATCTTAGGTGTACCAGAAGGAGAAGAGAGAGGGCAAGGGATCAAACACCTATTTGAAGAAATAATGAATGGAAACTTTCCTGTCTTGAGGAAGGAACGAGACATACAAGTTCAGGAAGCACAGAGAGTCCCTAACAAGATGGGCCCAAAGAAGCTTACAACAAGACACATCATAATTTAAATGCCAAAGGTTAAAAACAAAGGGAAAAATCTTAAAAGTAGTAAAAGGAAAGCAGTTAGTT